TACTTCTACAATATGGGTATCAAATGAAAAGGCTCGTTGAGAGTAACTCGAATAATTATGTGACGTCATTTTAAATTCATTATGGCGGACCATCCAAGATGGCGGAATGGTCATTTTCAATATACTTCTACAATATGAGTATCAAATGAAAAGGCTCGTTGAGAGTAAATCGAAAAATCCAGCTAGCAATAACTACAATTTAAACAATAAATTAGAAGTAAAAAAAAACTTTTTAATAAAAAGCTCTGATTTAAACGCTCTAAAAAGAAGAAAATAAAATTTGTCTTGATAATTTTAACTATCAACTTATAACCTCATTATACACAATTTATATGATCATAAAAGCTTGTCGTGATGACCAATATTTAATTAAATTGTAATTTTAAAAATTTTATCAGCATATTTTACATAATTAAATAAGTACAAACTTTCATGATCATATAAATTGTGTATAATGAGGTAATAAGTTGATAGTTAAAATTATTAAGAAAAATTTTATTTTCTTCTTTTTAGAACATTTAAATAAAATCTTTTTATTAAAGAGTTTTTTTTACTTCTAATTTATTATATTCCACTAGGTGGTCTGGAAAATCCAAAGGAAATAAAGTCGAGGAACACCTTATTGGTTTATCAACTCCCAATGCTGTCAATATACAGGGTATGTCACGACGAGCTTACACTATCTCCATATCGAGAATCAGTCGGGAGAAATCCATGAAACTATGCATGCTTATATTTCAGAATAGGCTCTCTTCATTTGAAATAATTTCAGCAAAATGCAGTGTTGCCGCTTCAATCAAAAAGTAGCAACAACTTTGTTATTTCAAATAAAATACCCTGTATTTCATTGCATTCTCCCTGAAGAGCTGATTTCATCAATACATACAACTTGGGGTTTATCGGAAATGATTACAGATATACAGGGTGTTCAAAATCGAGATTTTTTAACTTTAGGATTTGTTTGTATCCAAACTGTTCATTATCGGCCAAAACGACTCACATGTCCGAATCTCAACTATTGATTTATTATTTACTGATGTTTAATCGGAACAGATACAGGGTGATCAGAATTCTGAATCTTGAACCACCCTGTATCTGTTCCGATCAAATATCAGTAGATAGTAAATCAAAAGTTGAGAATAGATAGGGATATGCAAGATTTGAGCCGTTTTGACCGATAATGAATAGTTTCCACACAAAAATTCCTAAAGTTGAAAAATCGCGATTTTGAACACCCTATATCCCTGTAACCATATTCGATAGACCCCAAGTGTGATACATCGATGAAATCAGCTCTTCAGGGAGAATCTAAAAATGCGATGAAATACGAGGTGTCCCATTTGAAATATCAATGTTGCTACTATTTTCTAGTAGAAGCGGCAACACTGCATTGTCGAAAATATTTGTAATAAGGAGAGCGAATATTGAAATATAAGCATGTATGCATATTTTCATGGATTTCTCCCCACTGATTCTCGATATAAACATAGTGTAAGCTCGTTGTGACATACCCTGTATACCTAGAACAGTCAATGTTCAAGAGTTCACCAATAATATTGATGAAATTGAAATTATAGGGAATTTATCACGTTGGTATTATTGTCACACAGAAAACTGATATTGAAATGTGCATTCCTCAATTATTATGCCACCAGAATGAGATATTTTGCCAATTAATTAATTAATTATTCCCCAATTAATTAATTAATTAATTAATTAAATGTTGAAATCTGTCAATAAGCAATCATTCATTGCATATCCTCGCAATATTCGTCGTCGCCAAGGTCATTAGATGACGTTCTGATGACAAAAAAGAAAAGAAGTCCAACTTTCAATCTATGCCAGGGATGATAATGTTTTCCCGTTGTTTTTAATGTCATTGTAATGTTATTTAATGACCTTGGTGATCGCGAATTGCGAAATAACTAAGGGTCACCAAAATTAGACCAAATTAATGAGCCACAAGTAAGTAGTTGCATTCTCCTTCAGATGAAAATATATACAGGGTGTTTCATTGGGAAAGGTAAATAATTCAACTGTGGATAGGGGTCACTGAGGTGAAAAAGGTAAAAAAAAAACATGGTTGATGGGTCTTCGACTTCTTATAACCGAGATACAGGATGTTTCATCAATTTTGTCCATATCTTCATTGTCTCATAACTTTCCAACCAACCTGTATATATTTTTAAAAATTGGTCCACTTGCTCAATCTACCCTGTGGAATTGATTCAGGCAACAACAAAAGATGAAATCCAGGTCCGGCTTCACTTAAAATTCACAAATTATTTCTGCCAGAAAACAAAACCCTATACATTCGACTTTCTCATTTCTTTTGCCATATCTGAAAAGAACATCAAAATTTCTATTCAACGATGTTCTTTTTATTCGTGCACAGACGATTTTAACTATTCATATTATGTACTCAAAATATTATTTTTGCTCATTTTGGGGTACAAAATTGGAATCACACGAGATTTATTAATTTTATTACTTCCTATTCAGTATACCTGATACGTGAGTATCACATTCAGAAGGAGTATTTCATGTTGTTCTTTGTTCCAGACTTAGTGGCAGGTCCGTCATCAAAACTATACAGGCAACGGATAAATCTAAAAATTCGAAGGTATGTATGAATTAACATGATATACACGTCTGGAATATTTGAAACAATCCGGCGTTGCCGCTTCTACTCGAAAGTAGAAGTAACTCTGATTTTTCAAATGGGACACCCTGGATGCTTCCAGAAGAGCTGATTCAATAGATTCACAAAGTTCGGGGTCTAGTGGGACTAATAACTGAGATATTTAGAGTGAGGAAAATCGAGATGTTTCAACTTTAGAATTATTTTGCGAAAATATTTATGATTGATCAAAACGGCTTTTATGTCCCTATCTTAACTTTGTATCTATTGACATTTAATCGAAACAATTACAGGATGGTTCATAATTCAGATTTCTGCACCACCCTGTATCTGTTTCAATTGAATATTGAATGGAAAGTTATGATAGGGACATTGAAGCCGTTTTGACCATGCAATAATAAATAGTTTCAACACAAAACATTTCTAAAGTTGAAACATCTCGATTTTCCACCTCCTATATCTCAGTTAGCAGTCCTGCTAGACCTTGAATGTTTTGAATCGATGAATTCTGCTGTTCAGCAAGAATCCAAGAATGTAATGAAATACAGGGTGTCCCATTTGAAAAATCGAAGTTGCTGCTACTTGCTAGTAGAAGCGGCAAGGCCGGATCGTTTCAAATATTTCAGTAGTGTAGATTATGTTGATTTATACATACCATCGAAATTTCAGATTTATCCGTTGCCTGGTTTGCCGAAAATGTCAAATTAACGCTTATCGTGAAAAGCCCTGTATAGTTTTGATGACGGACCTGCAACTGAGTCTGGAACAAAGAACGATATGAAATACTCCTTCTAAATGTAATACTCACGTATACTGAATAGGAAGTAATGACATTAATAAATCTCGTCTGATTCCAATTTTGTACCCGAAAATGAGCATAAAAAATATTTTGAGCACATAATATGAATAGTTAAAATCGTCTGTGCACGAATAAAGAGCACATCGTTGAATAGGAATTTTGATGTTCTTTTCAGACATGGCAAAAAAATGAGAAATTCGAGTGTATAGGGTGTTGTTTTCTGGCAGAAAGAATTTGTGAATTTTAAGTGAAGCCGGACCTGGATTTTATCTTTTGTTGTTGCCTCAATCAATTCCACAGGGTAGATTGAGCAAGTGTACCAATTTTTAAAAATATATAGAGGTTGGTTGGAAAGTTATGAGACAATGAAGATATGGACAAAATCGATGAAACATCCTGTATCTCGGTTATAAGAAGTCGAAGACCCATTAAACATGGGTTTTTTTAAATCACCCCAGTGATCCACAGTTGAATTATTTACCTTTCCCAATGAAACACCCTGTATATGCACATAAAATTTGCGAGGTATTCAAATTTCTTGGTAGGATATAGAACATCTTTCAACGCATTTTTATCAGGTACACTTCAGAACGGAAGATTTGATATTGAAGAATAGGATCGTAGAGAGAAAGAGTCGAACCCACAATTTATAAACTGAGCGAGTATCGAGAAGAACCTAATTCCAATTTAGAACCAACAAGAAACGAAGAACTTGCAGATAATGAAATTCATTTCGAACATATTTTGAAAGAAAAGGACTTGGGAATGATCTCCCGATGGCCGGGTTCAAACCAACAATGCAGCAATGTGAACGGCGATCTATATTCAGTCGAGCGCTGAAGTCCATTTATACCTACTTCCGTATGTCTTGGAGAACCTTTATTATTCATCCTAACTAAAATTAGCTGTTATTGTTGTCTTATCATTTGTTCATTTGTTAATAACTTATTACCTTCCACCCTTGTACAAGTGAAATTGTTCCATACGAAATAAAAGTATGTTTCATTGGTTGAAATTTATCAGTTTTACCCCATCCTGAACTTTTATGATGAAAAACTATTCAACTGAACGTATAACCTACATATAAGAGACTTATTTCATAGGAATAGTATATGTATTTCGTTGGAATATATGTACATACTAACTTGATATCAACCTCCATTGAGGTCCTTCAGTCTTATCATTCAATATTTCGAGAAGAAATAATTTTCTAATCACTTTACTCGAGGAGACGCTATGCACTCTCATACAAAAATTAGAGACAGAGAAATATATATAGATGTACTCTTCCCAGGACTTGTGGAGGATGGAAGAACCTTTATCTAAACGAAAAACATATTCTTGTCTTTGTCTGGCAAAACATATGATTTGCTTCAAAATCGTTTGTGGTAATGTCTGATTATCACTGTTTGTCTAGTGTCCGTACTCTCATATACAAAAAATGTCAAAACTGCAGTGTCAAGTACATTTAGGAACCCCTACATGTAGGGAATATCCCTACGAGTTGGCATCACTGATTCGTGCCCTTCTGACGGCTCCTTCCGTTTCCAGCGCGATGGGATGATCGGCTTGCACGAGCGCGGGCCAGCGTCGCCGAGGGCGCCCCCCACCACTTCCGTGGGCGTAGCGCCGCCCACAGTGGGCGGCCGACTGCGCGACCGCGCCGCCATCGCCGTCGACTACTACAACGGGCGGGTGCAGCGCGCTTGGGCGGACGCCGGGCTGGGCGTAGGCGGAGCCAGTCACCGGGCCTCCTTCAACGACAGGCACGGAGAGAAGGGCGGGGCGGGCGGCAGGAAGGCGGAGTACTTGCAGGCCGACCACCTTTGCAGGTACAGTGCGAGTTTGTTCTTCATAGTATAAGAATTTTGGTAAAACTGCATTCATCATGCAATGGATATTTTTTTCGAGAATTTTTTTTGGTACTTGCAGGCCGACCAATTTTGGTGAGACTGCATTTATCATGCGATTTTTTTGTTATTCACGTATTTTTGTCTGAAAAACATGAATTTGATAATGAAAATATGAACAAACCATTATTTATCAAGATAATACTAACAACAAGTGAGGTACGTAGTTTTTGAAAGGTATCAGATTAGTATAGATGTAGTTTTCATTAGGTATTAGATTAGTATAGAGGTCAAATAATTTATACGACGCTATAAAAGCAGATGATATTTCATCATTGCTTATGTAAGATGGAAGTAGAGGCCATGGCACCATATCATGAGCATATTTTTATATTGAAACTATCATTGGGCACCAAAGATGTGTATACGACGCTATGAAAGTTCAGAGAACTGGAGATTTTTCCCACAAACTACGTACTTAGCCCACTCCACTGTCTTGGTTTTTCCACACAAACTACGTACCTAGCCCACTCGACTGCCAATAGGGACTAAAGAAACAAAAACAAAAGAAAGTTAAAACAATGCCAACATATTTCTTCTTTGTGGGAAATCAAGACAGTCGAGTGAGCTAGGTACGTAGTTTATGGGAAAAAATCGAGTGTGCTTTTTTTACTTTCTTTTGTTTTTTGTTTTGTTTTATATTGGCAAGTGATTATCTAGGAACTTGTGAATTTTTTTGTTTTTTCATCGTATCTTCCGAACTATTCAATTCAGAGAAAAATAAGGATTTTTTGTAGGTTTTATCAAAAGAAATAATTTAGGTTTCATAACATTTTCAGATATTTTCAGTTGTTTTCGAGATATTTGTAATTATCTGAGAATAAAATTTTCAACCCTTTTGTTTCATCTTCCAATCAACAAAAGGAAAAAATATTTCATGGTTCAGTGGAAGTCGATGAGCTTCATCTATCGATAATCTTTGTTTTCCAATATATCATCATGGTACCCTATGGGTCGTTCAAATTTTTTTTTTTCATATTTTTTACTTTATTTCCTGTACTATTGGCTTCACAGAAAAAATTATGGGTAATAATTTGTAGCAAATGTTCCAGTGGATAACTTTGCAATTCTGATGATTTTCGATTTTTCCATTTGTTTTCGATATATATTGAATTGAAAGAATTTCAAATTTTGATGTTTTGATTTTCATTTGTTTTTCCATTTTCCGATGGATGCACTAAAAAATGGTGAAATAATAATTTGTTGCGTCATCAAAGAGGCATACGGTGCATTTTTCAAATTTGGATTTAGTCTATTGGTTCAGGAGATATGTCGTTTCAAAGCGAACCGTGTGTTTCGGAAAATCTCCTTGAAAAACCCACTTGGAATTTTCCGACCCTGCTCAATTTCAATAGGCTTCGTCTCTCCCTGATAGAGTTTTTTTTCACTAAAAATGAAATTGATCGGACCACTTTTGCGATTTGTAGAGTGGTTACAAGAAACTTCCGGTGAAAAATCGAAAAAACCCGGAAAAACCACCTTAGAGTTTTCCGATTTCCTTCATATTTTAATGACATGATATTGTTTTGAGTACAATAAGATGGCGAAATTTCAAGTCGATATGTCAAAGGGTTCCGGAGATATATCGATTTATGATTACCACAGAGTACAGACAGACAGACCACACACAAAAGCCAAAGTTGCTCAAAATTCGATGGGGATAATTTTCTCCAAAGTAAGAGGTATATTTACTCGCTTAGTTTCCGAGATAGCATTTTTGGCAAGGCCGTAGTATACTCCACTATAGGTATAGCGTCGTATAATAATAAAGTACTGTATTGATCATATATGTAAATGTGAACAAATATACAATACAATACAATCAAGTGGCCATCGACCTGAGTCCTTCAGCCAATATGGTCTTATCTCTTTGAAATGTTATCTCCTTTGAGTGGATTGAAAAGTGAAAACAGTTGTTGTTAAAAAAAAACAAGATGATTTCAGGTAAGTGATAAAATCAATGGGATTTCAGTTAGATCATGGAGTATCGTTATCATAGACTTCTCTGGAAATTTGTTTCTTGGTCTAACATTGGTCGTTTCCATTATCAGTGGAGTCATCAGATTCATGTTCTCGGGTTTGGAGGCAACTTTTTTAGACAGTGTTGGTAGTCTTTCCTGTATCTTGTGCACCTTGGTCGTGGAATGGGTTGCGTACAAGAACTGTCAGATGACCGACGCTGGAGGCAAAACATTGAAACACAACGTCACTTTTCTTATTTGTTTACAAGTGATGGAAATAGTTTTCCACAATCATTTTGGCATATGAATCGTATTTTTCCGCTATTCATCAATTCGCTCATGCCATCACATTGTGCTGTTGTAAAATGCACAAAAACTGCAGCGGAAGATGAAGGAATCCGGATGGTACAATATGATTTAAAAGTAAGTACCTACTATAGTCACTCACATAGAGTTTTCATTTTTGAAATTTGGTTATTTCTCTGATTTCTCATCGGAAGTCCTTCTGCAATAGGAGCTAAAAGAAATATACCTGAAATTTCTAGAATAATGCAATAAGATTGGATTCATGCAATCAATCAGGAGGACTGGTCTGACATGCTGACGATCGTGTGTGTTGTAGACATTTTCAATCTATTAGCAGTATTAGCTTGTATTGCAGAAGTGGCAGAAGGCAGAAGGAATTTCAATAAGGAATGACAACATTTCATAATGATAACTATGTGAGATTACTATTTACCTGAAAAATCATATTCCCTAGTCTCTTGCTGCATTTTTTGTGCATTGTACAACAGCACAATGCGAAGGCATGCTTGAATTAATGAATAACGCAAGAAACACGATTCGTATGCCAAAATATTGTGAAAAACTATCTCAACCTTCTGTAAACAAATAAAAAAGTGAGGTTGTGTTTCAATAGTTCACAGAAGAGTGAGGTTGTGTTTCAATATTTTGCCTCCAGGGTCGGTCATCGTGCACGCGACCTATATAGCAGATCATTGGGTGGATTGTGTAGCACATTGTCTGGGTGACGCATTCTAGTGATGGTTCGAACTGCGGAGGTTTCGGCGATTTGCAGGTTCTTCATTGCTGGGTTTCTAATGTTCAGATATAGTGGGTGGCCATATTCATATTCTAATATTGGTCTGCAGATTGATTTGTATATTCTACTTGCAGTGCTGATGTTGATGCCAGAGCGGAGTACTTGCAGGCCGACCACCTTTGCAGGTACAGTGCGAATTTGTTCTTCATAGTAGGAATTTTGGCAAAACTGCATTTATCATGCGATGGTTATTTTTTCGAGAATTTTTATTTGGTACTCACGTATTTTCGTCTGAAAAACACGAATTTGATAATGAAAATTGATTTGCAGACTTTTTCTTGGGGTTTGGATTCGGTTTCATAAATAATTCGAGGATTAAGTAGAGAAAAACGTTTTGCCCATGGCCATGGGCTTTGTCAATTTATTGAAATTTTTTGGCACTGTAAAATAATGGTTCACATTGTAGAGTGAAGTAGTATCTATCAGACTATTCTATAACCACAAGTGCCACTATTTCAATTCCAAATTTTCACTACTGCATCCACACCTGCCAAAATTCATAAAACACTGTGCATTGTCAATGTTAAAAGAACAACAAAAAAGAAGAAGAAAACTCCTACCTGACATGTCTCTATAATTGTTCCATGTCATTCTTGTCATCTTTCTGTAATGTCAGTCAAATGTCCTTCACACAGTCATGTGATCAACAATTCCAAATTAACCTCAACAAATTGTAGTTTCCCTCGTTTTTCTATCACATAAAACGATGCAACAAAAATGTTCAACTCCTTCCAAAAGAAGAAAGAAGGAAAAATATTAAAAAAAACTAACAATATGTTTAAATAAAAAAATATTCACAAAAGTACCACACTTGCTGTGAATCATGAATTGGTTGAGGTACGTATCTCTCTTTTTTCTTTAGATTCATGTCTCATCATCATCACTCTACAATGTGAATCATTATTTTACAGTGCCAAAAAATTTCGATAAATTGACAAAGCCCAAGGCCATGGGCGAAACGTTTTTTCTACTTAATCCTCGAATTATTTATGAAACCGAATCCAAACCCCATGAAAAAGTATGCAAATCAAAAACATAACAGGATTCAAGAATATCCCTCAACAAACAGATAATGAAAATGTGAACAAACCATTATCTATCAAGATATTTCACTATTCGCGATAGAAAATAACAAGTTGCCCCACCTGACGGCAACAACTTGAACACTTTTGAGCAGTTTCTTTTGATGATGTGACCAATAAGCACAAACAAAAAACAAATGTGAACCAATGAACACGAAGTAAACTGTCCGCTTTGACATCTTTCAAGAACTCCGATAGGAGGCGTACGCTAATTTTCTATCGCGAATAAAATTACAAATTTCACCTTCTTTTCCGCCTGTCTTCTGCATTTAAAACAATTTGCTCTTCTTTTTTCATCATTGGACAATTTATATACAGGGTGATCCACGGTGGATGGCCTATTAGAAATATCTGGAGAACGAAAAGACAGAACATTCTGAAAATTGGGATGCTTTGATAATTGAACATTCTCTAGCCGTTTAAAATATTTCCATCGATACAGTGTTGCCACTTCTATCAGAAACAATTAGCAAGTTCGTTATTTTAAATGGAGCACCCTGTATTTTATTGCATTTTTAGATTCTTCCTGAAGAGCTGATTTCATTAATGTATCACATTTGGGGTCTAGCAGGAATGATTACAGATATATAGGGTGTTCAAAATCGAGATTCGGGAATGAAATCGAAGACATACAATGTACTTCATTGATTCATTGAAAACAGTAAAACAAGAACAATTTTGTGTTATAGCAATAGAAAATAATGAGCACGGAATGATAGTCTGGTGAGAATTTAGCATTCCGTGCGAAATTTAAGAGAGATTCGGAATCCTCGTGACGTTTCACGTAGGCCTGAATGCTTTTTAATGCAATATTTAGCAATTTTCAGAATTTCGCATAAAAATATGTAATTTGTTGTCCTTTACATCTAGGACAAAGATGTTTTCGAAATTTGGTGGGAATGTATATTTTTACAAAACATTACAGAAATAAGTATCCTTACGGAATCGCCTGGATGATTTTTAATGTAAAATTGAGTAATTTCTTCTACTACTTCCTAGACGTTACCTGAAAAATCCTATTTTCTCAGGAGCAATCCCAGCTTGGAATTTCTGGACCACTCACAAGCAGTCTCTTTTCTTATGCAGAATGAATAGTTTCCTTCCCTATATATTCTATATTCAAGAGAGAATTTGAAAAAACGCCACCGCGAAGAAACCAAACTAAGCGAGATGTCGTTATATATGTCCCTCTTTCTCCCGCTATAAATCCCGGGGATAGTCAAGTCTCGCACTTGTAAAATCCTATTTTCTCAGGAGCAATTCCAGTTTGGAGCTCTTGGACCACTCGGGCCAGCTGTCGCAATCCGAGGCGCCGTTTTTGAGGCGCGAGTACGGCAGCCACGGCTCGATCGACGTGGTCGAGAGGGGAGGCAAAAACGGCGCTCGACATGTCTTCAACGAGTTCTTCCACATAATCTCTTTTCTCATGCAGAAAGGATAATTTTCTTTCGTTTATATATTTTATTCAAGAGGATACTTGGAAAAACCGCCACGGCAAAGAAACCAAACTAAGCGAGATGTCGTTATATATTATGTCCATCTTTCTCCCCCTATAAATTCCGGGGATAGTCAATTCTCGCACTCGTAAAATCCTATTTTCTCAGGAGCAATTCCAGCTTGGAGCTCTTGGACCACTCGGGCCAGCTGTCGCAATCCGAGGCGCCGTTTTTGAGGCGCGAGTACGGCAGCCACGGCTCGATCGACGTGGTCGAGAGGGGAGCGCCGCACGGTGGCAAAAACGGCGCTCGACATGTCTCCAACGAGTTCTTCCAGATGCTGCAGGACTATCGACCCGCGGGGCTAGTCGGCACCGATCAACGGTCGCCGGGACCTTCGGAATACCTTCGAGGAAAGGTATGTATTCAATCAAATCAAATTTGAATATGTTTTATTGTCACTTAAGAATGTAATTGTTGTAGGAAGCTGAGTTATTAAAAAAAATTGAATAATGATATAATGCATACGACAATTAACATAATAGTATTCAACGAGCGCATAATGATGGCTATTACCCACGAAGATGAGTGGGTAATAGTCATTATGTGCGAGTAGAATATTATACTCAATCTACAACTACTCAAATATCAAAGCAACTCTGAGAGTTCAGAAATATATCTTTGGAAATAATGAAGGTTATTATATTGCAAAATCACTAAATCTGATTTGAAATACCCATTAATCTCATCGAGAACTTATTGACAGAAATTTCAATCAACAAACAGCTTATAACTTATTTCAATAAATTTGATTGTGAAAATATGATAAAAAATGTTGGATCTAACGTTTATTAACAGGAAAAAAGTCGTGCAATCACATCTCAGTCTTACTGGTATTATATGCCATTTCACTTTTCAGTTGTAAAATGAATCATACTATTGCAGATTATTCATTAACCTGCTTCCGCTGTAGCATTCCACCATCGCGATGATTAATTGTAGTACCCTGTCTCTAGACGCTAGTGATCAACAATGAAGTTCCATGGTTCTGATTGGTCTGTACTGATCTATTTGAATAGCCCGCACTAGAGTCCCTGTATATATCTTAGACAAGAGTTCGGACACAAAACTGACAGCCGTTGGGGTTTTTAATATTTTGTTTCATTTGGTTTGCCCACCTGACAATGTGATGAAACACCATAGTCGTCCCGCCCGCTTTTTTTAATTATTTCGAATTTCTGTCACTGTCACTTTGAAATTTTTTGACCGCCAAAATTTATCATTTTGAATTATTTCAGTGTCCTGTTGCGTACATTATTGCGATAATTCATTAGAAAAGGGATTCAAGTTATTGAATTTTCCGAATGATCCTTTAAAGATAATGTCATGGAAGAATGCAATGAAACGTCCAGAATGGAAAATTCATTTCAAGAAATCCGCAATATGTGAGGTAAATATTCAAGTTTACTCGTAAAAACAGTACAAAAAAGATGAATTTTATGCCCATTTTGATAGAGATTCTTTCAAGCTGATGGATTTCAAATTGAAAGAGTCTGCTGTGCCGTCAATTTATAAAATAGAGACGTTCAAAAAAAGAGTTCCGTCGTCATCGTATTGGGTATTACTGAATGATACGATCGAAGAGAAAGAAAATGAGAATGAGATGATGCGGAAAGAAACTGAAAGTTTGAATTCAAAACTGGGAGATTCAGAGAAATTGCAATGTGCTATGTCATCAGTCCACGGTGTTTTTAATTCAGATGTACGTATAGGAACCTTGTCACCATCGGAGGAATCCTAGATGGTATAGGTACCTAGATACTGATCTTAAAAATCTTGCAATTATGATTTCTTCCATTATATCTACTATATAGTTGGTATATGTACCATGAGTTTAATGTGAGTATAGTTATTAGTTGTATATAATAGTTTATCAATTGGATCTTTGACATCTCATTGTCCCTAATGTTAGATAAATATAAAAGTCAATGTTTATAAGGCACCTTTATTTCTGCTGAGTATTATTAAATTGAGAGTATCGGATAAAATTATATTGAAACAGTTAATATATTATATCTTCTATTTTTTTTATATCCCAACAGAAAACAACTATATTTTCTTGGCTATATGTGATACCACATAGAACACTTAAATTATCTTTCTCATATCTAATGAAGTGAAGAAATATCTGATGAAGAAATTTTGTAATAGCCATCTCAGGAATTGATTATGAAAATTATCGATTCGAAATTTGAACACCCTGTTGTTCATTATTTGAAAATCTAATAGTTATTCTAGTTAAAATAGACCTATTTCTCACTTCTACCTACGGCTATGAACGGTTTGACAAATAATCTAACCCTCAAAATTGTTTCTGACAATCATTGATACTAGGGAAATTAAAAAGACAGAGCTCGATATATATATGTCTTATTCCTTCATTCAATCATCAATGCATTTTTTGAAACCAGAAAAGGACAGAAGTATAGCTGTGTCCGGACTCTTGTCTAAGGTATATACAGGGACTCTAGAGCCCGCACATAAGTGTGAGCCAATCTGCAATTGTCAAGTGTCAAGACCTATTTTATGGTTATGGTTACTCATGATGGTAGTCACTGTTGAGAATTAAAAACAGTGAATTCTCATTTATCCGTGTATTTGTACAATTAAGGTGATTAAAACTATGAGAACCATGTAAGGTTAGTCTTCAGAATTTGCGTGTATTTCACAAACAGTAGTGGTGTGCTTTATAGAACTAGTAGAACGAATACCTTTACCTAGTTGAACTTGATAAGACAATGGGATGTCAGATTATTACGCCATCCTAATGTCATTATTACTCTTATTACTCGATTCATCACAATGCCATTAAATGTTGAAAATCGACCTTCGACAACTGTCATCATCGTTTCGACAGGAGGCATTATATTGGTTGTAGCAGTGGTATTAATTACCTAACTGAGTGTTGATTACAAGAAATCGACTTTTTCCATTGATTTTCGATTACGCGATGAAAAACATTGTGATAATAGTATATTATTCAACAAGGGCATAATGGTAACTATTACCCACGAAGATGAAAATTGCAGTACGAGCCGAAGGCGAGTGCTGTAATCATCTGAGTGGGTAATAGTCATTATGCGCGAGTAGAATACTATACTTTATCTACATCTATATAAATTTGCATAGTTTGAAAAAGATATAAGGTGATATTGAAAATCGAATAGGTATTTATTAACATTTTTATACAAATAGTGGAATTGAACATTGTTGAATCAATATGAAACCGATGAAACTGAACAACTGATCGAGAAATATCTGACGAACATTGCTACGCCTAACTTTTAGTTACATAATAATTGATTGTGATATTATCGACATTACTGTTGAAATTAATTCCTGGAGATGCACTCTCAGACAAATCATAATTTTTGGTGATGGTAGTATTTGTTTCAGTCTTATTAATATTGTTTGAGCTTGTAATAGTGAATAATTCTTCATTTTTCTCCATATCTCTATTCATAGCATTGTTGGAGGTTGTAATAGTGGATGACCCATCATTTCTTTTTATTTCTTTCATGATTTTATTTCCTCTGTCCAACTTAGTGTTCAAATCATCATCAATATAGCCTTCAGCGACTGAGGTAGATTTCCATCCTCCAATTTTTTTGACAGCTGTGATGTCACCACCTCCGCTCACACAAATGGTAGCAGAGGACCTTCGGAGGCAATGGCCAGTGTATAGTTCAGGGTTCTTCAGTTTCAAAAACGAAGCAATTTGCTTTCCTATAGAAGTTAGTTTATTGATTCCGACTTTTTGAACGGTACATTTACCATTCTGGTAATTCAAAAATAAAGAAGAACATTCAGCATGAGGCGGACGAAGATCTATATATTTCTTGCAAATATCGTAAAATTCACCAGATACAGTGAACGACCTTGATGTTTTCGTTTTCGTAAATGGTATATTCACGATAAGAGCTCCATTGTGATCTTGTATATCACCAATTTTCATAGAATGTAACTCCTTACAGCGGCAAGCTCCCATTAGTCCCATGATTAATGTCACCTTAAAAATAGTTAATGGTCAGAAACAGGTAGGAATCTACTTCAGGAATCCATACCTTCGTCAGAAGAAAATTTTGATCAGGTGCTTCTCTCATGAATTTATTCACTTCTTCTGGACTGAACGTTTTAGCTTTCTTTGGCCGATGGCCCTCAGATTGGCGTTTCAAAAATGCCTGTAGTTTCATGTATCTATTAATCTGAATATTATGATAAATATTCAATGTACTTTTCAGCATCGAATAGAAAGCCCATAGTGAGGATGACTGATACTTCTTTGCGAGTTCAGCAAAATATACAAGAATAACATTTTCAGAGAACGAATTCGTTTTCTGTGTCGATTGCCAATCCATAAAGTTTTTGTATGCAGCATCGTATTTACCCTTAGATTTGCTCGGCAGTAAATTTTCTGTAGCACTGGTCGCTAATTTCATTATTTCAGGCGGCGTACAAGACAACTCCTGTTGTTCAGCTGACATATTTAACTTGAATAGATAATTGATTGAAAAAAAAAAACAGTGAATACTACCTGACTGTTCAATGCGTTGTTAAACAAAAGCAAATTCAAACATTTGAATTAATTTGAAAATCTGACGTAGCGAAAAAGTCTTGCGCACGCATCAATGAATCAGTGTTGTCAACTGTATTTAGGTATCCTGCCATTTTGTTGAAATAGTTTGCGAAATGTTATATTATTGCTAAAAATTAATGTAATACCATAAAATCTACGCAAAATGTCCTATTAATGCAGATAAGATAGAGATAAGTGGGTAATTTATCTCTGATATAGGTATGCTACTATGCAACCAACAATACTTTTGTATTGTGTTTTGTGCATGGTGAGGTTGGTAGTAGAGAACGAGACGGAACATTCGGACTATTCGGAGTTGTTCGGAACGAACGGTGAACAATGCTCGCTCGCTACATCCAACGCTACATCAGCTGATTCTTCTCTCTTGCACCCATATAACCTAACCCCTAACCTCAGTTTCAAGAATTTTTCAACTCTTTTCTCATATGGTTGAAATAAATAATGAATTCTTGCTATTCTTATTTGTACAGAACCGATCGAAACATTGAAACTAAGTATAGAAACTTAAGTCAGGTAAGAAGGTGTCTGTTAAAATTGCGTGAATTTCACAAACGGTTGTATTCTGCTTTTAGTAAAACCCAGAAATGGCTAGATGCTAGATTCTTGATTCCTCTGATGTCTCTTCTCCTATTTGAATTTGACAAGACGAGGGGATGTCAGAATATTACGCCACCTTACTGTCATTATTACTCTTATTACTCGATTCATCAGAATAATGTGTGTCGTTAAATGTTGAAAATCGAGTTAGCAATGCATGAATGACTCCATAGTTGTAGATAAATAGGTTTCTTGACTTCATGTCATCTCAGGAATATCTTAGCATCGTTATTGAATGAATTGGTGAGAAAAATCCAGAAGAGCCTCCTTGCGCCCCCTTGGATTGCCTTATTTGAAAAATCGAGAAATCAATTCGACATACTGAGCACAGCAATCGATCCAAATGAAGGATTTGTTTTTAGCATAGCATATGGTTATGGCAGCACCAAACTGAACAGACGATTTCACCTAATTCTGGACATTCTCCAAAAACATTAATTCTTCTTCTGTTAAAGTTGTCGATGATTTCAACGCAATATGAATCCATTTTCTAGGATGTGTTCCATCGTATAGAGTGGTAAAATACGTTGAATGTAGCTCGCATAATTTTAAGATCAGAAATTATGTGATGAAAACCTAAAAATGAAAAATCATCAATTTTCAACATTCTGTATGAGAAATATGGAAAATTACAAAACCGTTTCGAGATATTGGCTTGAACGTTCGGAAAAAACGCTTAATAAGAAAATAAAAAAATATTGAAATTTTTCAATTTTGTAATACTTTTTTCGAACACTTGATGTATAATGACAGAAAATCTCCCGACGAGTTTTGAACAAGGAATCTTGAACAGAAAGATTGCATCTTACAAGCACTGCATTCCGATTGAAAATCCATTCATTTTCTAAAAAGATATGGCGGTTTGAAAATTGTCAAATATTTCAGTGCTCCACTTGTTTCTTTGATCACTTGTGGTTCGATCCACTGCACATTACGAAAAAACGGATTACAGGTAGAAGGAGGTGCGGAGGAGGGTCACGTGCCGCACAGCCCGAAGCACCGCACCAAGGGCAAGAAGCTCTTCTGGGCCAATGCGTCCGGAACGAAGCAGGCTATGGACGACAGCACGATGAACTGCTCATCGACGTCCATCAACAGTTCCGCTGCCGTGGAAACGGACGAGATCGCCAGGAGGAGGTAAATGGGTGCCAAACAATTGCTCTAAAAATATATAATATACAGGGTGATTCAAAATTAAGCGGCACCCTTACAGGGTCATAATCAAGGGAAAAAGTTCCTATTCGCGGGAATCAATGTTACCAGGTGGCGCTCGGTTTTCATCGTTCCATGTCAAAGCCACGTCAAAACTGGGGTGAAACAAACTCAATCCTCACTCAATACCATTAGTGCCATTAGCTTGTGTACTGTGTACTGATGAGAGTGATAAGTTTTTAAATTTCTTGACATTCATTATCAATATTCGATCCAAAACGATAATAATGCCTGTTGTAGATGTTCTTTTGGCAGATACTTTGCTCTATTTAGATGGAAGAAGCCGACCAGTAGTGGAAGGAGAAGCAGTTCTCCGTGCTAATCATGTGATTTTGTGTGAGGCAGAAGACTTCAACAAAAGGCACATTTTTGCACTTCTACAAACTTCGGCGATGAAATCTTCCCCACATGAAGTAAAATTGAAGTTGGGGTCCAGAGGAACTCCTGTAGAACAATGGATTTGTATTTGTTCCTGCGAAGCAGGACAATCTGGGTATTGGGCTAGTTTTGGATATTTTGGAAAAAAAATACATAGACATACTTTCCGAAATATAATTATTGCACTGAGCAGTACTTTTTTGATTTGTTCGTCATAATTAGTTTGAATTGTTTGAACTATCTCTAATTCTTCACCCGTTAACTGTTCACTGAACTAATAAAAATGTAATAATGTAATAGTATATTACATAACAAGAGTTGTAAAACGCATATTACGCACGAAGTGGAGAGAGTTACACACGATGCCGCATAGCGGCGAGTGTGTAACTCCACAAGTGCGTAATTGCTTTACAACTCGAGAATTGTACTATACTTTTTCTACGACTACACTATATTTTCTTCCGGATAGTGCAGATATTGTATATTATGGCACAAATAATGAATACTTATATATACACGTCTCGCGTCACTAAACCAACTGCATGAAAAGTTACAAATCGAAATTCTTGTGTTTGTTTATTGATACATTGCATACTGAGACATTTTCCTCAATTCGAACTGAAATGGAGCTGTTTTTCATATCTAAACAACTTTATTAATAGCAGAAAACACATTATGTAAAAATATGGAATTAACATTCATAATGGTTATTTATTGAAACAGTGCGAACGAGAGATTCTGTAATCGTTATTAAAAACAATAAAAAAAAGTTCGCCAACTGCGCTTTGAACCGCCGACCCCTGGCTTCGGAATCAGCTAGGCAGTAGAGTCCCTGTATGTATAATTCCCTGTATATATTTGTCAGTTTTGTTGTAATAAGAGTACGGACACTATGACAAGCAGTGACGGAAGGCATAACCCCAAATTCTCAAAATGACTTTTGAACAAAGACATTGATATGCTTTTCCATGCACTTCGGATCTTCTATCCTCTACTGCCGCGGTGAAGGGTACATCCATATATCTTTCTCTGTCTTTATTTTCATTAAGAAGTGGCGTCTCATCTCACTGGCGAAAAGGGGTCATAGTTTGTAAATCAATTTGTTGAAAGTATTTCTCGATATACTTAACAAAGAGTATATGTACTTCAATTTATTTGATTTTAGGATGCACTAGTTTTTCAATAGATAGAGTCAGGATTTAGTAGCCAGTTCTGATGGGCAGAATGTAAATGAATGGGAAGAACAATTCAACCAATCAACAAACTTATATTTGTTCTCATAACATACTGAGACACTTCCTAGGGCATGAACGATCAGAAAATTCGACAAATACAAGTATAATGATTATAATTCAAGAATAGTATATCCTATGACAAGAATACAAAATTTCAAATAATGGTAGAGTAAAGTGGGGTAATATGGCAACATAAAATTTAAATGCTCACAATCTAATAACCATCGCGCCTAGCTGAAAGATGATGGCTGCACGTTAGAGCTTACACAATATATTTTTGTGTCCAGAGTCGCTCGTTGCCATTTTTCTACACAGCGAAAGATTACAAGTAAAAATGCATAGTAATATCATATTGCCATATTACCCCATACCAAGGGTAATATGGCATCACAGGTTGGGTAATATGGCAACATGCTATTCTCGTAAGAAATAAACTATTTTATGAAATTGAAAAAAAAACTAGCTTTTACAACATAACAGTATAAGTTATCAAATTTTATGTCTCATAGCTGTAGAGGTACTTGGTACTTGATCTGGAACACAATCTGCACAATGAATCATATTCGATGGTGTACATATCTCGTGAACCCATGGTCATAATTTACAAATTGCGACCAATAACATTTTGGACCTTTTTTATCATCCACGCGGCATTGTGCTCAATATTCCGATTCATTATATTCCAATTCTGACTGAACGCTTTCCATTGTAGGCACTTCTAATAACAGGTAAGGGTTATATGCCGCAGTTGAAAAAATATGAGGCATAATACCCCATATTGCATCACATGACAAATAAAATCAAAACACATATTTATTGAACGTATAACGGAGTGTTCCGTCAAAAAAAGAGAAGTTTATGGATCATTCTTCGGCATACTCTTATTGAAATAGACCGAATCTACTTAGAACTTCCTTTACCACAATATATAACTTAACATCAGTACATATTTTTCACGGTTCTCACCTTTATATTGACGTTATCAACAGAAAATCTAATATTTTCGATTTTTCCATCATTCACGTGTGTTTTCTGTCTGACACTAATATGTAAATGTTGTTGGTTAGAATGGGGGAAATGGAATAAATGAAAGGACTCGCTTCCATTTTTGCAATTTTTCAGTACACAATTAGACATTTTAATTATTGAAAACCTGAATTTTCAAATAATTTAATGTCATGTACGTTCATGAACTGTCAGTGCCCGCCAAATTGTTCATGTCATTTCAAATTTTTTAGGGTTATGCCTTCTGTCACTGCTTGTCATAGTGTCCGTACTCTTATTACAGCTAAAGTGTCAAATACATACAGGGACTCTACTAGGCAGCGCTTCCAACAACTGAGCCATCACCAGTAATTGGTATTAGCAGATATTTTATAAATACCATTTCGAGGATTGATCTTTCCTAATTATTCCTGTTATTTAAAGAAGAAGGAATTCATCAATTCAATGTTGAGTATGTATATTATTTGAAAAATTACCTTCATGAATAAATATTCATCAACAGGAGCAATCTGCAGAAAATAATTGATCTGTTCAGCATCAAGTATTTTCGATTTTTTACTTCGGAAGTTCGGAATCCATCCGATTTCCATCTGAGGAAATGGGATATGTTGCTATATTAATATTGTGATTGATATTCAGTGTTGATCGTAACATGGAATATATCGACCAGAGTGATGATGATTTCATCGAATTTGATAATTCTTGAAAATATACTAAAAGGATATGTTCCGAAAACGACACGGTATTATTTCTAATTCTCCAGTCCAGGAATTTCTGATGTGCTATTTCGTATCAATCACGAGACTTATCGGGTAGCAACTCATTTTTAGCCATTTATCTTTTTGCAACATTTCTGGTGGTGTAGAAATAATCTGCTCATCGTCGTAGCTACTGACATTAATGAAATAGGTAATTTTGTTATTGACACATCGCCTAAGCTACAAAAACAAAGTCATCTATCAACATACCTATGAAAACCGTGCGATCGCTCTCTTTACGCACACGTGTGTAAGGAGAAGCTTACTGCCATTGTTTTGTGTACAATATTCATCACTTACAGTAGTAGTCGTAGGAAAAAAAAATAACCAACTCAACCATCATCACTACCAACAGTGCCAACATTTTATTTCATTGACAAGTTTGACGACTACAGCTACAGCAAGCTGTATGCAATATAGTCTATGCACTTTATCTACAGACACCAGTTTGTTTTCCCCCAGTTTGAAGTTCGTATTATGTAACCTAGATGTCGCCCACTTCGTGAATCTCACGAATTAATAAGGGTCCGAAAATGCTTCCTTAGGTAGCTACGCCCCTTTGAATAGGACACCTCAAGGACGATTTTTTCTATATAACTTCAAAATCCCTCTCAATGAATTTTCGAAAATTGGGGTACGGCATAAACATTTGATGGTTAATGAAACTCTGAATTCAAAATTTCGAAATTTTTTTTCAGGGGCCTCACATGCGGAGAAGGGTACGTGTGAAAACATCCCTTCTTCTTTTGATATTTAAGTTATTGTGATTTACGCAAATCAGCAAGTTTTCAAAGTCGATTCTCTCCTAAATGGTATGCTCTATTTGAAATGAACAAGGGAAACCTTTTTCACGTGAAAAACTCTAGAAATTTATAATTTCCAAACGAAATCACAATAACCTGAATATCAAAAGAAGAGGGTTGTTTTTACACTTACCCTCCCTCGCATGTGAAGCCCCTGAATAAAATTTTGCAATTTTGAATTCAGAGTCTTATTTTCCATCAAATGTTCATGCCGTACACCAATTTCCGAAGATTTATTGTGAAGGATTTCAAAGTTATAGAGAAAAAATCGTCTTTGAGGTGTCCTATTAAAAGGGGCGTAGGTCCCTTAGGGGCCTTAGGAAACATTTTCAGACTCTTTTTAATAGGTACTTTTGGCCTCATTTTTATGCAAGGAATACGCCCCTGAAAGGATGCTGCTTACTTTCGAATCAGCCAGAATCATTAGAGATCGAAATACAGGCACATTTTGCAATCGATTTTGAAAATAGGGACCAAACAGTCCCATCTCACTATCCGCTCAACTGGAAATCACCATAGGATATAGTTCCTCAAACAAAACCCATATTTTCCATGAAGAAACAATTGAATATCACATAGCTTGACGCGTACTATCAAATGGCACTAATATAAAAAATTCAGGTGATCAAAATAAAATTTAAGGCTAGACCCCTTTTGCCACCCAAAGTTCTACACTGTAGCAAATAGCAAAGTGGCGTACTTGATTTTTTTCCTCGTATTTTGTTCAATTTTTGGAATGACATTTCTCGTTAATTAGAAGAATTAGAAAAAATCTGATATCATGGAGATATTCCTTAGACTGTTTCATATTAATGTCCTGAATATGTGCATTTATTTCAAAAACACCTTGTATAGTTCAACACTATTCAATTCGCAAAATAGGTGTGACATCTATGTTCATTCAGTTGAACTGGTATAAAGTATATAAAGTATTTTTTGGCCTAAGTGATAGGGTATGTATTATCACTGTTTTCGCCTTCTTATTAGATTATTGGACAACAAACTGAGCTGTGTGATATTCTTCAATGTACATTGTTTCAAAATGAGTGAATTGAAACGGCCTGCAGAAGTCAAAAAATTCAGTTCTTGACATATTTGCTCAGTGTCCCAATGCACCAATCATACCACAGACAAAACTTCTCTGCACCAAGTATATTCCAACTGAAAACGAAGATTTATTCATAAAGTGGCAATTTTCATGGAAAATTGGAGAACCTATACAAAGTAGATGTGTGTTTGCAGTGAGCAATTCTTGGAGACCGATTTTATCGAAGGTGAATATTTGAGGTTATGTTCAGGGCCGCTTTTTAACTCATGAAATATAAATAATATAAATTCCATTTATGGGAATCACAATTCAAATAATATTCATTTCGTGAGGGGTGGTGATGTAAGAGCATTTGTTTGCAAACATAGGCCAAATATTTTCTGCCTTGATGACGGCTTTGTCTTCTTTTATTGGCCTTTGACGAATAATTACGTAGGCAAAACTATCCGATAAACTCATTTCAACTTTCGACATTTTCGGAAATTTAGTCGAATTTGAATGAAGACAAAATCGAACACAATGGTATCCTATGGAATGCTGATCACCATAATACTACTTTGCACTCACATTCTGTGCTCCATCTAGCGGAAACGAATTTCGCGAATGAAGCAAAATATCCCTTTTCATTGACATGTGGGGTTCAAAGCTGAAGCGAACTAAGTCCATAATAGCGATGTATTGATGTAGACCATCCATAATATTGTTTAAAGCTCATATTTTATTATTTTTTATTTATTTATATGAAATCCAAAATTAATATTACAGGAATTGATTACTGATAGGTAACTTCAAACCTACCAAACATGGACTTGATTCACTTTAGCTTTGAACCTCTCACATCAAATAGATAATGTTTTTCAAGTAAATAATGTATTTTGAAATTGTGGCGCAAGAGATTTGTTTTTAAAATCAATATGGCGACACTTTGACGTCATCGATCTAGTTTTCGTCAAGCAACCCAATAAAATACCACAAAGACGAAACACTTTGATCAAATATCTTCTTGTTATAGTCATTGAAAAGAGATTTTTTTGCTCTATTGAATGGCGTAAAAATATCTACAAGGATCGATTTAAAAATATGGGTTCTAAAGAACTATATCCTCTATCCAAATATCAAAAGTCTAACGAGAAAAACAACTGAATAATGTCCTGTCCAATGGTTTCCTTGTCAACCAGTATTATCACTGGAAAGTGAATTAATGAAACGCCTTACAACTTGGTATGGGAGTACTATCTATTTGGTTTGTAGGGCTTTCGCCCACTACGACTGCCAATCGCTGACCACGAACTTGAGGCTGCGAATGAATTTGCTGGCGAGGCGAAGAAACACCACCACTGGCGCTTCTGCTGCCTCGATGTTGACCAGATCTTCCACTCCCGACGGCGACAGTGAGGTATACTGAGCAGATTATTTTTTTCACATGTCAAAATCTGACATTTCCGGTATATTGATGAATAGAAAGGCTATATTCCGAATTCAACTGACAGTACTGAATCTACTGAATTTTCATTCCGAAATCAAGAAAATTGACTGAAAGTGACAGATACTCGTGAGCAAATATACTATTCATTCCAAATATTTCGACTCAACATTCTGCTGAAATTGCTGAATATCAAAAGGTAGTGTGGCTTCAGTGAACTGTCATTATTTTTGATGGGAAAGGAATGACACATTCATTTCCGTTGTTTTTCAAACATTAAGTCTTGGCTTATCAATAATACATTAATAATATCATTTTGATATCAGAAAATGCCTGTTATTTATTTAGCTTAAGCAGGAACATCTACCAGATCAATGACAACTGACAAATCTCACCACCTGATCAACTGCTGCTGATTACTGATGAAAACGTGTTCCGAATTACAGCACTGTATTTTTCATTTTATATTTCGGAACACAGCTTTTCAGCAGAGTCAGTGGATCTACTGACAGTACTGACCAGTTGAATTCGGAATATAGCCAAAGTCAAATTTTGTTATCGCTTCCTAATTGAAAAAGTTTCGAAATCTCTCGATATCGCCTACTTTGTGAAAATAGCGAGGCGTCGGAGAATCTTGCTAAATTTCCGAAGTGCCAAAGAAAATTTACATTCATTTGAGTTTACATTTTTACAATTTCTTGTGTAAATGGAAACGGTGAGTTATATTTTCGACTTTCAGTGAAGAATTCATAAACGATACGAAGTCCTAACTCATGAAAATTCTGTGATAATAGTTTATTTTTATTTACTCACTTTTGGTACATAATGTGAAAGGAGTGTTCGGATTTTCAAATAATCCTCACACATCGCAACATGGTCAGTCCATGATGAGAGAACAATACAGTGACTCAACTACCTAATATAATATTAATACCTGCTTAATACACTACTAATGTTTTTATAAAATATCATTTATAAGAATTCATAATATTCTTATTTAAATTTTGAACAAAATCATGAATATACCAAAAACGTGACACTCTTGACAGATAGGTCGAATCACGATCAACGGATCAAGATGACGATCAAGATGTTTCTGCTCGGATTATTTGATGCTTTTATTCAGCTTTTATTGAAATCGTGCATCATCAACAGGACTCTTCGGGTCCCGAAAGAAGGAAAACACATGCTTGAGAGTCTAGTTTAACTTCATAATGAGATTCGAAACGCATTTTGAATACTTCCAAGAAATTGTCCATCGTTCACGCCATCTATCATCGGATATGAGAACCTTACGTTCCGAACTCGCATTCAATTGTTCATATCGAGAGTTAGTCTGACGAAACAATTGAAGAGTGGGCACACCAGAGGAATTATAAACATCTCATCCGGTATTATGCTGAAAATTCAATTTATGTATGCAAGCAATGTGTGTATATATTTTCACAAAGAAGAAGAAACATTTTGTCAGCAATATTTATAGAACTCATAATGTAGAAGTCAGAGTACCAAAACGTTCAAAAAATATATTTGTTAACTTGGTTCGAAGTTTTATAATTTGTTGCCCCTGTCAATAAGGAAATTGATAAATATTATAAAAAATGCAAAACATATATTATGGACAATCTAGTTACCTTTCTAGAAATCTTAGAAAATTAACTTGTTTTGGGTCTATTCCAATATAATAGAACATAGACTTCACTTTCTATTCATCCTCTTGAGAATAAATAACATGCACCTACCATCTTTATATATATGTTCTATATTTATATTTGCCGCTTACCCATGAAACAAAAATTGTTTATCTATTTGCATATATAGGTGCTTGCATCTAGACGCAAAGTCAAACTTTTTCAATTCAGTATAATAATTGTATTTAGTTGAACTATATGATTTTTATTTGTATGTTATGGTAAATATGGTGAATGAATATGCCAAAGAACGGTATAAAAATTCCCATAAGCTCCTGTGATTTTGCCATATTTCAACAGCAAAAGAATTTTGCCCTAACTTTTCCAGCAGGCAGCGAGGAAACATAACCTAACATTTGAAAGCATGACAACCCAAATTGTAAACTTGCGTTGTCACAAAAGTATCTAATATGTTGAAATGTTGCAATGTGGAGAGTCTTTGAATGGATTAATTGGGAGAAACCAACATTAATGTGATTTATGTATTCATAGAATTGTCTTGTCGAATTACACTTAAGCTTTTTTTTGGGGTCTAGGTCAACTTGACATTTATGATTCAAGTTCTGTCACCTTTAGGAAATATAACTAAAAAAAATACCTATAATGTTCGTGGACCATCGTGCGTATCTACGGAGGTTAGGGAGAGTAGGTAGGTGTAGGTATTTTTTTAAAGCTTTTAGAGGTTATAAACTCTTGAGAATACTTCCATTGGCAAAGAATTCCAAAACTTCGCCTTTCGACATAGTTCCAGGTTAACGAAGAAAGCATGTGATGACTTTCCATCTATAAGTAACAATAACATCAGTTACCAATTCTCCGAAAACACAAAATGTAACCTTTTCAATCTTCATTCAACTTGATAACACAAATAATGTCTTATTTCTTCTAAATATTATATTATACGACCCTTATCACACATCATCAACCAAAGAATCGATCATAATAGAATTAATTTGACATTTAAAATTTTGTTGGTTGTTGAGAAATCTTCTTGTCAAATTGGTGAAAAGATGAAATATATTTCCCATATGATTTTTCATTATCACACACTTTTTTATTCAAGGCAACATCATTCAAACAAACCGATTTTAGATCAAATCTCTAGTCCTCCAGGTATTTTTCCATTTTTTTTGTAAAATAAACAAGTTTTCAAGAAAAAGAAACAAAAAGGCCGATCGGTATAGCTGATTCTGATTAAACATCTTGATAAGGATAGCTAATATTATTCCAATGCAGTAACTGTCAAATTGATAAAACGATTTATAATTACAAGACGTGTACAGAAAACTTTGAGAAGTGTTATAAACATATTTTTTTCTAATCCTCTCCTATAACGTTGAAATTCCTACTTATGAAAGACGTAGAAGGAAGGCTTAGTTTGCGAGATACAGGGCGTTAAAGTTTAATACATCTTGATTATTTCAGTTGTTCCGTCTCCCAATGGCACCGTTAAGATATGTTGAAATGTGGTTTTCCAAAAGAAATATGGACATTATCGTTTTGTTTGAAGGAAGGGAAGAAAACTTACACAGATAATAAATTTGTGTGAATTAGAAATTGATATATTAGATGATGTAGATATGAATGAATCAATAGTCAGATTTGGTTCAAGAAAATCAAGATGTTATACTCGAGTAAATTTTGAATATTAGGATGATTGCGGCGATGGCAACAGCAACGACCTGGTGGACAGTTGTCCGTTTTTTCGCAACGAAACGGGAGGCGAAGAAGAACGGATTGTTAGCCTGTCCAGGCTACAGAACGGGGGCCACAGCAGGAAACCGCTGCATAGGTACAGTATTTTCTCCAATTGTCCATGAAAGTTAGACAGAATTAGGGCCAAACCACGGAATTCGTTAAAGAAAGTTCAATTTTGATGGACCAAAAACTTGAATACAATTAGATTATTTAACAACTACAATGTCAGTTATTATGTCTGGAGGGCATCATTCCATTCATTTATCTGATTCGAGATTTATTCTGTTCTAAATTTCCCAATACCTTGATCAGTTTTCGAGATGATGGGTGTTGAAAGCGTGAAATCCATTGTCAATCAATTGTACTTCAAAGTCTTCATCGTCTCATGCTCCGCTCATCTGTTTATTACTATTATTATTATTCTCATTAGTTGTACTTCGACTTTACGTGACTTCAAACGATCTTTATCTGTTTATTGATTTTCAATTGATTATTATAAACAATTTGCACAGGGAGGACTTGGATTGAAGATGTTGAAACCCTTGTACAGGAAGTTAGTTAGCGAAAAGCAGCAGAAGATCCTATAGAATGCAAATCATTTTGAATTAAATATTGACGCATTGTATTGAAAAATAGAGTATATTTTGTAAAAAACTTTCATTATAAGTGCTGGCCACATATGGCAGGTCTTATTTGTTTATAATGATTAGTTACAAAAAAAAACGCATCAGAGCATTCGGTAATTACTGATTTTGAATCACCTTCAATTATTATGGAATATCGTTCACCCCTTGAAAATCTCTTCTCCTTGTCCAGATCACAGATGACAGGCCTAATTTGTCTATAGTAATTCATCAAAAACCAATGAACAAATGAAAATCAGTCAGACCCCCTTGAGAGTAGTTCTGAACCACCACCAATCACGATAAGAATATCTATTATTAGCGCGTGAAACATCGCCTCTCTTAGTCTGAACCTAGATGAAACGCCTAATTTGTTTATGAAAATCAAATAAACGAATGAAGAACTCCTGAAGTCATGTAAAGTTGAAGTACAACTAATGTGAAGAAGAATGGGCTTTAGCACATTTAAATTAGTCTTTTACACCCTTCATAACAGCCGAAATGAAAATTTAATTTATAGTAATTGATTATTACTATACCGGGTGTCCCATTTTAATCTTTATTTGTAAATTTCTCGAAATGTATGCATCTGACAAAAAAAATTGCCTAATAAAAATTGTATGGTTTGGAGGGGGACGTCTGGTTATGAAACAAGTTTCACCCCCTGACCCCCAGGGGAGTGGGAAATGGAGGTAACATTGAAATCTTCAATGGAAACCCCTATTCTTTATTGCAGATTCTGGAAGAGCATTAAAAACTATGAAACTTTCATTCGGGAACTTCTTTTTTATTTTCACAAGATGGCGCTGCGATCGTAAAAATCTATATTTCACTATTTACACATTTCAACCCCCTGAAGACGAGGAAGAGTGTAGGGTGTGATATTTTCCAAACAAACGCCATTGGGGTGATATTCACACGCCAAATTAACGCTAAACGAACTAACTTACCTTGACACCTCTACATAGAAAAGAGAAAAATAAGCATGGTTCAGCAATTAAGGTATCATTTAGGTCAGACTAAAGCTGGTTTTAAGTGAGATTGACTACTTTATCAAGTGTTCGAAATGACCTCCATTTGCTTGAATACACAAGTTCACTCGTTTTTCAAAATTCCGCACTGTTGCTTCCAACATAGCAGGCGTTATAGCCATTCACGCCCCTCCAATTCTATCTTTCATATTCTCGCGTGTGGTTGGGGGTTCGCGAAACATAATGTTTTTGATGTAACCCCACAAAAAGCACAATTCTAGCAAAATGTGGAGGCGCGCCATCTTGCTGAAACCACATACGGAGCGCCATCTTGTTGAAATAAAAAAGAAGTTCCCGAATAAAAGCTTCATAGTTTTTAATGCTCTTCCAGAATCTGCAATAGAAAATAGGGGTTTCCATAAAAGATTTCAATGTTACCTCCATTTCCCACTCCCCTGGGGGTCAGGGGGTGAAACTTGTTTTACAACCAGACGTCCCCCTCCAAACCATACAACTTTTATTCGGCAATTTTTTTGTCAGATGCATACATTTCGAGAAATTTCCAAATAAAGATTAAAATGGGACACCCGGTATAAACAAATCACCGGCGCATGAGACCTTGATGTAGATACAATTACGGAGAGAACACACTTTGCCCCATCAAAATCAAACCTTTATTGAATTCAAAATGCTAACTTTCCTGGACTATACCAAGTGTCAGCGAATCTATTAGACAAGCCACGACTTCTAGAATATTTTGTGTATTGAAATTGAATTTATTATGGGTGTATGGTATGTGAAGAGGAAAGTTTTCGCATAGTTTTCACTTCCCATTCACTGCCGGTATGCGAATATGTATTTGATTGATTGATTTTGGTTTAGTAAATACTAAATGGTTCGTTGACACCCGGTATAAAATCAATCACTTCCGAAGCAGTTGCAAAAAGATTGAAATGTTAATGATTCAGGCCGCCTCTCGCTTACGGGGTCGCCGTATTGGAGTTCGCCCCTGGCAAGACGCACTGGAGGCATTCCACGTGCCCCTACCAAAGATTTCCGAGGCCCATCGAAAACATCGATCAGGGAGCGTTGTATTACAAGAAGTTCTTCGTCGGTCAAGGTAAGTGATAGTAACCGGCTGTAAGTCGTATTCGAAAAAAAAAATCGATATTGTTTCGGCTTTCAAAGCATCATCAGTTGCTCTCGGTTTCATGACATCGGAGACAACTCAACGATTCAAGTTTTGTTTTATTTGGTATTCCCGACTCTTGTTTCATGTAGAGTTCCTAAATGTATTTGACACTGCTGTTTTGACGTTTTTTGTATATTAGAGTACGGACACTAGACAAGCAGTGACAATCAAACATAACCACAAACGATTTTGAGGCAAATCTTATGTTTTGCCAGACAAGGACAATAATATGTTTTCCTCCGATTGGCAGCAAATATTAATTTTGCTGACACATATCAATCAGCAAAGTATTACTTTTCCTGCCTAGGCAGCAAAGTGAGTACTTTGCTGCCTAGGCAGCAAAGTGGTTACTTTGCTGATTGATATGTATCAGCAAAATTAAAAATCCATAAATCGTTTATAATTTCCTTCATATTTCATCCGAGACTTCTCCGGCAACAAATTCAACTCCATTTTTTTTGGCACCTCCCTTATTAATGGAGGTGTAAGTATACTTCCAGGTCGCTATCACTGTCCATTGAATAATAATTTGAATATACCGATATTTTTTCGCACAACTGTCAGAAATTTCATGGATTGTCAAACCAACAACTGCGATTTCTATCAAATTTTATTTTAATTGAACACTATACAGGAAGAATAAACAGATTGTAGGAATTGTATTAATTCGTAAATACAATATTTTCCCATATTATTATGAACAATCGGAGAAAAAATTATATGTTCAACTCGGCAGCAAATTAGATTGACTGCCTTAGCTGGATTCCTAGCCTCGCTACGCTCGGCTATGAATTCAGCCACGGCAGTCAATCTACTACTTTGCTGCCTAGTTAAACAAATAACTATTTTCACTTAGATGAAAGATCCTCGCATCTTCCTTCACCCACAAGTCCTGGGAAGAGTACATCCATCTTTTTCTGTCTTTAATTTTTGTATGAGAGTGCACAGCGTCTCCTCCAGTGGGTGAAAGGATAAAGTGATTAGAAAATTATTTCTTCTCGAAATATTGAATGATAAGGCTGATGGACCGCAATGGAGGTCGATATCAAGTTGGTATGTACAAATATACCAACAAAATACATATACTATTCCTATGAAATAAGTCTCTCACATGTAGGTATATATATACTTTCAGTTGAATATTTTTTTTATCAAAAAAGTTCAGAATGCTGTAAAAACTGATAAATTTTAACCAATAAAACATACTTTTATTTCGTATGGAACAATTTCACTTGTACAAGAGTGGTAGGTAATAAGTAATTAATAAATGAACAAATGATATGGCAACAATAGCAGCTGATTTCAGTTAGGATAAATGATAAAGGTTCTCCAAGACATACGAAAGTAGGTATAAATTGACTTCAGCGCTCGACTCACTATAGATCGCCGTTCACATTGCTGAAGGGAATTGTTGGTTTGAACCCGGCCATCGGGAGTTCATTTTCAATATATAACATAAATGGTGCACTCGTTAAGCGTTCTTGTTCTGTGCTCTTATAATATCTTGCTCGTATCTTGGTACCCAAGAAGTGGTTTAAAATCCACTAGGAGCTATGTTGTCGTCTAGCACTTCTCAACTACGCATGAACATGCACATTCAGACTTGTGATTTCAACTTTTGTGGCCTGAACCTATATTCCATGCCGGCTGCATCATATTCAGTTTCCATTCTTGATTACGTTATTCAATGGAAATTCGAATAGAGTGAATTGATTTCCCGTGTTTTTACAGTTGAAAACTGCACAAACTTGCATCTTTCTCCTAATTCTCTCAATTTTTCAAACCTTTGGAATGTATGTCATGTCCGTTTTTCCATCATTTTATTTGTGGTTATGTCTGATTGTCAGTGCCTGTCATAAGGTTCTTTCGTCTGCTTTTCAGTGTCGTGTAAAATGCACTACACTATGAATCAGCTGATATTTCGTGCAGCTACACCAACGAATTTCAAACGAATGAAGAAAATTTTATTGAAGAGGAAAAGTGCAAAAGTGAACAGAGTTAATTTTGGAATGTGGTATTTGATTTAACTGATTTCCCGGTACAGGTGTTATATCTGATAAAAATATAATCACATATGTATTTCGAGTTATTTATCGCGATTTTATCAATTATTTAATTCGAGTGTAATTCACACCTGCTCAAGACCAGGTGAAGATAAACTACACTGGTGTGAAATGCACTTTTCAAAAGAATGCTCAAGTAAGGTGTAAACCACAAGAAGTGTACGAATGTGCTGCACTTTTCGTACAAAAGAAAGGGCCCAGAGTGTCCATACTCTAATAAACAAAAAACGTCAAAACAGCAGTGTCAAGTACATTTAGGAACTCTAGTTTTATGGACTCTCATTTGTTTCCTAAATCATCCCAAGATTGGTAGAATTGATAATTATTTGCATAGGAGGTTGACTCGATCAGGTGGTAATTCATGATGTATGTAGACTTCGATGAAAGCAAAGATTACATCACAAATGATCACTTAACGCGTTTCATGATCAAGGTAACTTCTTCAAATGATGTCATCGCTTCTACCAACCTCGCGAAATCCTTGTATAATTTTCGAGAAGTATTTGCACTATTATGTCTTCTTTTTTTATTCCAGAACATCAAAATTGGTTTGGAATGGATGAACGACTGGGGCCCGTTGTGATATCTATAAAAAGAGAAAAAGTGATACATCCTGAAAATCAGTTGACAACAACTCTTATGCAATATCAATATAGGTGAGCACCAGTGACAGAATAATCAAATTAAATTTTCATTTCATGATTCAATTTGTTTGTCATTCTCTATTCTTAATCTTCACATTCATGCTTGCAATTTTATCATTTTTCTAAAATTTTCTGGATGGTTGCAAGGTCTCAAAATCTCAAATGAACGCAGAGTTTCATTTGATCTCTCATAACTTTTGACGTCACGACTCAGCGCCGACACAGTCGCCACATGTCAAAGTACAACTGGAAATTGTTTTTTTTTCTCCAAATGACATTGAAAGGGGTTTTTTAATGACGCTTGACAGGCAAAAAAGGAGAGGTAGAAAAAGTACTGCCTAGGCAGAAAAGGTTTGTCGCTATGCAACGTTCCAAGAAATATTTGGCATCAAATTGGTAATCAAAATTGACAATGGATTTGGGTGAACACAAAATGATGAATTATTTTGACTTTGCGTGAAATTGGAACGAATTTGGTGAAAAAATTATTTGTTTCACATGTCAGAAAAGCAGTTTTAATGCATTGGCTGGTTTATTTTGTGCTTTCCTGCCTAGTAAAACAAATAACTAAATTGCTCTCCTTATAGATGTAACGATTCTTACTTAATATCTCCTTTATACAGGTAATACATTTATATGTATGATATATGAATATATTTTATGATCATTCTGAGAACATTCTATCAGAATTTTTTATAAATAAGTATACTTGAACGTTGTTAGAATATCCATAAAATATTCATAGAATATTCTGTGCAGCCTGAGTTGAGTCCTGATAATGCAATTCAATAACCTTAACATTTGATGACCTTATCAATATGGGTTAGTTGTAGCTCTTCTCATTATTTTTTCATAGTAGGTATCCATCTTTGTATTGTGTGTATCTTGACGTTCACACAAATTCATGAAAAAAATAGTAAGATTCCAGCTGAACTATCTTTTAAATTCATTTTAAAAACTTTAGTTATGTCTTGTGAGATTTTATTATAAAGCATCAGTTTACATACAGTTCTATAGTTTTTCATTTGATTTATGAAATCGTATCTAGGTGGTTGTTACTGCCATAAATTGTTCTTGTTCCAGTTCCTTTTTGAAGTAAAATTTCAAATCATACCATTCCACAACTTTTGCCTATAATCGGCTCTCCGAAGTTCACTAATTGATTATTGATACCACATTTGTCAATACCCAATTGATAATCAAAACACAAAATGGATAGAATCGAAATAAATTCTTAAAATGTGAAAATATACAGGGTGTCTCATTTAAACATCGAAAGTTGAAGTCATTTCTGCTGAAACAGGAAGTTTTTCAAAATGTGTAATTGTATCAGTGAATGCAAATTGAGATTTTATTCGAACCCTCCAAATTTCATAATTCGCCTTATACACATTTCAAAAATATATAGATGCAAGTGTCCAAGTCTTTAATAATAGTTCTAAAGCTGTCACTCTGAATCCTTGCTCTCATTGGTTGTTGATAATATCGGTGCTTACCTTTCGCTTGCAGATTAGTGGTGCGCACGTCCGAACTGCACACCCTCCGAGGCGCCGTCTTGGAGGACGCCGTGCCGCACATCAAACCGTCCGGCAACGCTGCCAAATCGCTCAACGCCAAAGAGGTGCTCGAATACGTCACGCCCGAGGTGCAGCTCGGCTGTCTCCGGCTCGGCTTCAATAGCAAGCAGGTCGTCGACCAGATACTCAAGCTCGACGAACAGGGCCTCACCAACCACTATAAGGTATAGGTTGCTTATCGAATCATTATACATTGCTCATCTAAATCACAGCATAAGGATTGAACAGCAGCGTCACTTGTATCCTCGGTCATTCTAGGCTTTGTTTCTAACATTCAAGAAGCCTTTGAGAATCGGGAGTTTGTCGCAACCACGTTTTGTGATCTCAGCGAAGCATTTTACTGTGTCTCCATTCTTTACTCTTACAGAAACTTGAACGATATAATTTCCATCAAAATAGCACTACTATCCTGAATATCTCTCGAATAGGTTTCAGGTAGTCAAAAATGAAGGAGTTGAGTCTAACAAAAGCGTTATAACTGTAGGTGTCCCCCAAGGATCAATTGTGGGACCACTCCTGTTCCTAACATACATACAGGGCCTCACCAACCACTATAAGGTATAGGTTGCTTATCGAATCATTATACATTGCTCATCTAAATCACAGCATAAGGATTGAACAGCAGCGTCACTTGTATCCTCGGTCATTCTAGACTTTGTTTCTAACATTCAAGAAGCCTTTGAAAATCGGGAGTTTGTCGCAACCACGTTTTGTGATCTCAGCAAATCATTTTACTGTGTCTCCCATTCTTTACTGTTACAGAAACTTGAACGATATAATTTTCATCCAAATACCACTACTACCCTGAATATCTCGGTTTCAGGTGGTCAAAAATGAAGGAGTGGAATCTAACAAAAGCGTTATAACTGTAGGTAGGTGTTCCCCAAGGATCAATTGTGGGACCACTCCTGTTCCTAACATACATACATACAGGGCCTCATAAATCACTATAAGGTATATGTTGCTTATCGAATCATTATACATTGCTCATCTAAATCACAGCATAAGGATTGAACAGCAGCGTCACTTGTATCCTCGGTCATTCTAGACTTTGTTTCTAACATTCAAGAAGCCTTCGAAAATCGGGAGTTTGTCGCAACCACGTTTTGTGATCTCAGCAAAGCATTTTACTGTGTCTCCCATTCTTCACTCTTACAGAAACTTGAACGATACAATTTCCATCAAAATAGCACTACTATCCTGAATATCTCTCGGCTAGGTTTCAGGTAGTCAAAAATGAAGGAGTTGAGTCTAACAAAAGCGTAATAACTGTAGGTATCCCCCAAGGATCAATTTTGGGACCACTCCTGCTTCTAACATACATACAGGGCCTCATAAATCACTATAAGGTATAGGTTGCTTATCGAATCATTATACATTGCTCATCTAAATCACAGCATAAGGATTGAACAGCAGCGTCACTTGTATCCTCGGTCATTCTAGACTTTGTTTCTAACATTCAAGAAGCCTTTGAAAATTGGGAGTTTGTCGCAATCACGTTTTGCGATCTCAGCAAAGCATTTTACTGTGTCTCCCATTCTTCACTCTTACAGAAACTTGAACGATACAATTTCCATCAAAATAGCACTACTATCCTGAATATCTCGGCTAGGTTTCAGGTAGTCAAAAATGAAGGAGTTGAGTCTAACAAAAGCGTAATAACTGTAGGTGTCCCCCAAGGATCAATTTTGGGACCACTCCTGCTTCTAACATACATACAGGGCCTCATAAATCACTATAAGGTATAGGTTGCTTATCGAATCATTATACATTGCTCATCTAAATCACAGCATAAGGATTGAACAGCAGCGTCACTTGTATCCTCGGTCATTCTAGACTTTGTTTCTAACATTCAAGAATCCTTTGAAAATCGGGAGTTTGTCGCAACCACGTTTTGTGATCTCAGCAAAGCATTTTACTGTGTCTCCCATTCTTTACTCTTACAGAAACTTGAACGATACAATTTCCATCAAAATAGCACTACTATCCTGAATATCTCTCGGCTAGGTTTCAGGTAGTCAAAAATGAAGGAGTTGGGTCTAACAAAAGCGTAATAACTGTAGGTGTCCCCCAAGGATCAATTTTGGAACCACTCCTGCTTCTAACATACATACAGGGCCTCACCAACCACTATAAGGTATAGGTTGCTTATCGAATCATTATACAGTGCTCGTCTAAATCACAGCATAAGAATTAAACAGCAGCGTCACTTGACATTCTAGGCTTTGTTTCTAACATTCAAGAAGCTTTTGAAAATCGGGAGTTTGTCGCAACCACGTTTTGTGATCTCAGCAAAGCATTTTACTGTGTCTCCCATTCTTTACTCTTACAGAAACTTGAACGATATAATTTCCATCAAAAAAGCACTACCATCCTGATTATCTCTCGACTAGGTTTCAGGTAGTCAAAAATGAAGGAGTGGAATCTAACAAAAGCGTAATAACTGTAGGTGTCCCCCAAGGATCAATTTTGGAACCACTCCTGCTTCTAACATACATACAGGGCCTCATAAATCACTATAAGGTATATGTTGCTCATCGAATCATTATACATTGCTCATCTAAATCACAGCATAAGGATTGAACAGCAGCGTCACTTGTATCCTCGGTCATTCTAGACTTTGTTTCTAACATTCAAGAAGCCTTTGAAAATCGGGAGTTTGTCGCAACCACGTTTTGTGATCTCAGCAAATCATTTTACTGTGTCTCCCATTCTTTACTCTTACAGAAACTTGAACGATTTACTTTCCATCAAAAGAGCACTACTATCCTGAATATCTCTCGAATAGGTTTCAGGTGGTCAAAAATGAAGGAGTGGAATCTAACAAAAGCGTTATATCTGTAGGTAGGTGTCCCCCAAGGATCAATTTTGGGACTACTCCTGTTTCTAACATACATCAATGACCTCCCCTGTATAGATTCACCTGCAAGATTCACCCTCTTTGCAGATGACACCACAATTAGCTATACCTCAAAATCCTATGATGAAGTATTGGAGGTTCCAAGAGAGGCAGAGTCGAACTCCGAAAATTGATTCTCGACAAATCTCTGGGTTTTAATCGAGACTAAAACACTTAATACTTTGAGGACTGTGAGATTGCACCTACTGTAGGGTTTCTGGGAGTTCTCTTAGATTTCCGATTGAACTGGAGGCCACATGTAGAATAAGTATGCATAAACTAAACACAAACATTTTTGTTCTAAGAAATCTTTCTCTTTGTGTAAAGACAGTGTTAGATTTCTCTCCGTCATACCCACATTTCTCATGTGATATTGGTCTGGAGACATGCTGTGAGTGCTGTTGAGGTTTTCAAAATTCAAGGACGGGCAGTTAAAGTTGTTCCAGGTTTACCATATTGTGATGACTGTAGGCAAGCATTTAGAGATCTAGACATTTTGACGTTCCCATGTCTTTTCATTCTTGAATGTCTAAGCTATGTTGAAAAAAACCTTTATCTACAAGAGATACACCAGGATAATCATGACCATGATACAACAAACAAAAAAACTTGAGACCCACTTCTGTAGACTAAAAACGTGTCAAGATGGCCCTAGGTGCCTTGCTGTACGTTTTTTAAATGTTTTACCTGACAAATTTCAACAGATGGAAGGTTCAAAATGCATAGGAAATCTCAAGAAATTTTTACTGGAAAAAGCATTTTCTTCGTTTGATGAGTTTTTAAACTGTCATTCTGTGTGTTTATAATTCACTCCTTATAATTCACTTGTTTGATGTTGAATGTGTAGTTTTTAAGAAATTTTTGTTGGATTTTTTTTAATGGAGAAATGCATTCGATTGAGTGTATTTCTGCTGACGTTGAACCACTGCTTTACTTCTTGAACGGTGGTTCTCGCTGTGCCTCAGTATTTTTTCTAGGAATCTGTGTTCTTTTCTATTATTGATTAGGTAACTCATATACTTTGCGGGTGAAAAAGATCCAAACATATATTAGCAAATTATATATCTTCGTGAAGGTAGTAGATTTACCTACATACCATTTCTAGCCCTTTATTAATATTTGATCATTCGGATAGGTAGGTGTGATGTACTGTAAGGCGGGCCAAAATACCGAAGAAGAAATGTACAATAATGAAGAAGCAGGTCCAGCTTTCTTAGAGTTTCTAGAAACGATCGGCAAGAGAGTAAGACTGCAAGGATTTGATAAGTACAAAGCTGGATTGGATAATAAAAGTAAGTTTTTTTGCTTTATATAATATACTAGCTGTGGCACGGTTGGTGTACCCATTTAAAAAAAAAAGACTTGTTGAAGTCGTTCTGAGCGCATATCTGCGGTATATATTTTTTTGTTATTTTTGTTTTCAATGTTTTGTGCTTACCTTTAGGTACTATTGTATACTTACACCTATTTCCATTCTCTCAATATCTTTTGTAATTTTATTGTTGTTTTACGTATTAAAAATTTCAAGCCGTTTAGTAGTTGACGTACCGACAACAGTGCCATCTGCCGCATCCAATTGTATTTTTTAATTACCCAGGAAACCAACAAAATACCCATATAAAATTTCATCCCACTCGGTGCAGCCGTTTAGAAGTTATATGAAAAAGATAAGCACGGAAGGAAAATAATTCTTTCTATCCGTTGTACCGTAGGAACGAAGCATTTTTTCGCGGTAAAAAGTAGTCTATGATCATCAGGGATAATGTCGGCTTCTAATGGTGAAATAATTTTTCAAGTCGGTCCAGTAGTTTTGGAGCATATTCAATACAAACAAACTAAGGAACAATCAAATATTTCCAACTAGGAAAAAGCCAAATACTCAAAATGGCATGCAATGGTCACAAAGAGAGAAACTCGAAGTCATCACCACAATAGTTTATAACAAGAGAAAATCAACTACATTCCTGGATATATGCCACGCAATAATTTGTATATATGAATAAAATCGCAAGTGTACAATTGCAACGACTGCATATTTAAATATGAGATAAATTCATTGTTTTATCTATGTAATAATGAGTAAAATAATCTTAACGTTTTATTAATGATTATCGAAAATTCCTCCTCTTATTTGAAACAAATTATGTTGCTTAAAGGATTTGTATTTTGATAATCATCAATAAATTTTTTTTTTAGAAAGCAAGGTAATCCAACAGAGGAACTATAAATAGTCCTTACAATAACAGGATAACACAGTGATACAAAATTATTATCTTCACATGGGTTGCACCTACTTACTATCATTTAAAAACTAAGTACCTACCTATTCCATAACTCATTCAAAAAATAACAATCTGAAGAAAACAACAGTAACGTCGGTATATACAATATCAACATATATGAATATATTCAATTAATATTAGTAGCTGTATAAATCAATAGATTAGGTATAGGTTTTGTGGGGATGCAGCTGATGTGGGACTCAAAAGAAAACTCTTTTTATTTTTGAGAAAGCTTTCGGAATTTATTTAATTCCTTCGTCAGTCTCTCTAAAATGGAATGCACAATTATAATATTCAGAAGAAATGGGTATTAAAAATTACTTATAATTGTGCATTCCATTTTAGAGAGACTGACGAAGGAATTAAATAAATTCCGAAAGCTTTCTCAAAAGTAAAAAGAGTTTTCTTTTGAGTCCCACATCAGCTGCATCCCCACAAAACCTATACCTAATCTATATGAATATATATATATATATAGAGGAGAGGATTAGACGACTGTTTAAGTTAAGGATGAAACTGTCGATTTCCTTCGGGTATGCAGTCAAAGAAAAAACAAAGCGTACTCTTGTTTCTGTTCAAGCTTTCGAGTCTTTATTGGCTCTTCATCAGGAACTCTATAAAACATTAAAATTGATATGGAAATTAAATCCTTGTTATCGATTATAAAACACTTACGGAAAATGAGATTTTCTTGAAGCTGGCTTCCATTAAGTGGGGAAAAAAACATGTGTAAAAGAACAATAATTGATAAAATTGTAATAATTTTTATCAACTTTCAAAAATATTGATGTTTTCATGTTTTGAATGTTCTTTTACACATGTATTATTCCCCACTTAATGGAAGCCAGCTTCAACAAAATCTCATTTTCCGTAAGTGTTTTATAATCGATAACAAGGATTTAATTTCCATATCAATTTTAATGTTTTATAGAGTTCCTGATGAAGAGCCAATAAAGACTCGAAAGCTTGAACAGAAACAAGAGTACACTTTGTTTTTTCTTTGACTGCATACCCGAAGGAAATCGACAGTTTCATCCTGAATATATATAGGTAGTATTTTGACACAGACTGAAAAAGTACAATTTCGGTATGACTTCAGTATCGTAAATGAATACCAGCACTATTATATTCAAGGAATACTATAGAAATTCAACAAGAATTCTCTAAGTTGTTTCTTGAATCTTTTGAGATCAAGGTGAAATATATCAATATCAGAGTGGCAAATTGTATTGTACGAGTTCATACATTTTATTAGATGTGAATTACTATAATAATTAGTTGAGAAAGAAGGTGGGTAGAAAGTAAGTCTATTCCTAATCATTCTAGGATTACAATTCAAGCTCAGGAATCCAGTACATGCTGTTGAATCCATATGATTGTTGAAGATCTTGTGAATGAATAATATGTCAACGAAGTCTTCTAATGAAAATGTTTTCTATTCTATAGAAACTTCAGTTGCTCTCATAGCTCATGTAGTAACGGAAGCGGAAGAATCTATAGTTCAAATTGACCTTTTTTTACATTGACCCACATATTTGTCATACACGGGATTCCAAATGGTAGAGCAGTATTGAAGGATAGGCCTGACTAATGATTTAGATAAAGTGGTAATTGATAAATAATTTTGAAATTCTTTAGTATTTCTCAGAATAAATCCCAGAGTGCGGAGTGCTTTTTTAACAACAGCTCTAATATGTGATTCAAAAGTTAATTTCTTATCTAGTATCACTCCTAGATCTCGAACTTCTTCAGTTGTTGATATTATCTGATTATTAATATATAGGTTCTTAGTGATAGGGTCTTGAGATCTTTGTATTACATACGAAAATTCGGCGACTTGTACTTGTCCAGTCGACCAAGCACCCGGTTCCTGTATTTTTCATTGGAATTAGCAAATTACTGAACTTTTCAGCCGACTCGACCGGCCTCTACTCTGTGTACGCCCAATACCAAGAGTGCGAGGTCATGTTCCACGTTTCGACCCTGCTGCCATTCACCAAGAACAACCGGCAGCAGCTGCTGCGCAAACGCCACATCGGCAACGACATCGTGACGATCGTCTTTCAGGTAGATCTTGATAATTGTGTGCATCACTATTTTGATAATTGAAGGGCTTAATGTGAAACAATGTGAAGCCTCAGAAATGAGAAAATGAGATATTTGACTTTGCATGTTGGAAATAATACATAAAATCCAACAACAACTATATTTCATTTCATTTCATTTCATTTATTCATTCCAAATATGGTCAAATTACATGACATGTGGATAAGTCACTAAAAACTAAAAACTACTACTAAATACTAATACTATAGGTAAAAAGGACACCAATTTATGAATACAAGATACATTATAGGTATATCCACAAATAAGATGAGTATAAACACGAGATAAATACATGAAAGAACAGTGCAACAACATTATTTTTAAAATTTTATATTAAAATATTCATCTACCGAATAAAGGGAGTACTGCAGTAGAAGAGTTTTTATTTTACTTTTGAAAATATAGAAATTTGATATATTCTTCAGATCATTTGGTAGATGGTTATATAATTTTAAAGGCATTACAATACAACTTTCTGCCGTTAAAGTAAGTCTATGAGGGGGTAATCTAATCGTCGACGTAGATCTTATATGGTGATTAACAATATCACCTGATACAGTGTACTTACAGATGTTTCTTTTCACAAAAGTTACACATTTAAGAATATATAATGATATGACTGTTAGAATGCCTAGTTCCTTGAATAGGTTTTTGCAGGAGTCGGTTCGATTTTTGAAAGTTATTGTTCGCAATACTTTTTTTTGTACTATCAAGAGAGATTCAACTCTCTTTGAATTTCCCCATATGGTGATTGAGTAAGATAAACTAGAGTTGATATATGAATAGTAATACATCAGTAGAATATTTCGGTCTACAAATTGTCTCAATCTCCAAAGTACAAAGCAATGGGATGAGACTTTTTTGGCTAAGTGATCAATATGAGTATACCACTTTAAATGTGAGTCCATATGCACTCCAAGAAATTTTACAACATTTGATTGACAAACAGTAGAATTCTCAGATCTGACTAATAAACTGTAGTTGAAATTTGAGGCAGAAAACTGTAAAAGGTCAGTTTTCATCATGTTCAATACTAGGTGATTTTTTACACTGTAGTCATTGGTCGCTCTCACGTAATTAGTTGAAGCCTGGCTAAGGCTGCTGATAGTGCTGCCAGAAGCTACTACTGAGAGGTCATCAGCAAATAGAGAAGTTTGACCAACACTAAAACAATAAGGTAAATCATTAACGAAAATAATGAACAGTAAAGGTCCCAGGATACTTCCCTGAGGGACACCTGTCTCTATAAATTTAGTGGATGAGTAGTAATTGGCGTCATGAACCCTCAGCAGTACCCTCTGACTCCTGTTGGCTAGATATGACTTCAACCAGTTGTAGGGCTGTCCTCTGACCCCATAGGAATATAACTTGTTTAATAGTAATTCGTGGTTTACAAGATCGAACGCTCGAGAGAAGTCAAAGAACAACCCTGCAACCAGTTGTTTATTATCCAGTTTCGTGTACACTGTGTTCAGAAAGTGAGCGATCGCATCCTCTGTACTCATGTCTCTTCGAAAACCGAATTGAGAGTTATTGATAATGTTAAAAGAGGTTAGAAAGTTTGATAGGCGACTATGGAATAGTTTCTCATAGATTTTGGAGAAAACAGGCAAAATTGAGATGGGCCTATAGTTTGACATTACAGAAGCACTATTTTTTTGTGTATAGGTACTACAAGAGCCATTTTTAATTTTGAAGGAAAAACTCCTTCCTTGAAAGATTCGTTCACCAGGTATGTTAGTATAGATACTAGGTCGGTTGCAACAATGGAGACCAATGAACAAGGGATCCCATCTTCACCTGCAGATCTTTTTTTTGTTACTAGTTTGACAGTATCTGAGAATTCACTCTCAGTGACCGGAGTCAAAAAGAATGATTCTTTAATAGAATTACACATTGGACTATCCAGGCGTTTTTGTCCTGTTGATTTTGCCAGCTCATCTACTGATTTTATGAAATAATCATTGAAACCTTCAGCGATATCTTCTGGTTCTGATACATTATTTCCTCTGTTATCTGTGAGAGACAAGGGATATCTTTTACGTCTAGCTTGAGATGTTTCATTCCTGATTATTTTCCAAGCAGACTTACTGAGGTTATTAGATTCTAGAAAAAAATTATTGTAATAATTCCGTTTCTTATTTCGAATTTCATTTTTATGAGTTCTCAGTTTTTCTTTATATTGGGAATGGAGTTCAGCACTTTCAGAAGACTTACATAATCTTGACAAGAAACGTAGATTATTACCCTGGTCTATGATTTCCTTATCAACCCAAGATTTTTCATTGAATTTATTTCTATTGCGTGCTTTGACAAGAGGAAAAGAGTTGTGCATTATATCTAGAAAAACACCCATACATACACCCATAATGGTTTTAATGATATACGGATCGATTCGTCATGCCCTATGGGACTAAAGTTAATAAGAATATTGATAAAATTACTTCTTACTTGAGAAAAAATTGTGGCTTGTTACATAATTCTATTAATTCATTTGTTTATTTATTTATTTATTTACGAAAAGGAATACATACGGGACTAACCCAAAAGCAGTATTCACAGATATGTCATATCTCATCACACAGATATATTAATACTAAACAAATCGAATATCAAATAAAAAGTTGATGAAAACCAATAATTGGAGTAATTAATGATTGAGTAGGTACAACATGTAGTGTTGTAGTGTGTTGATACAAACAAAGGTGAAATAATTTTATTCAGTACATATTAAAACGTTAAAATATATCAAAATCAAGTAGGTTGTATATTTAAAATAATTACCCAAAATCTGACATACAGTTGCCCTAAATTTCCTCGAATTTTTCCTTTTGATCTCGAATAACATTATTAATTTCTGTACCTTCATTGACATGTTGAAATTTTTCAGGATGTGTTTGTTTTCTTCCTATTTCTTATTCATTTACCCAAAGAAAAATGCAATAGTACAGGGTGAGTCGGGAGGGTCGCACCAAACTCCAGGTGTGTATTGTACAGGTATAAATAGTTTTTAAAAACCCATTTGTTCTTATACGATTCTCATTTCTTTTCATTCTAAATTTGAATAGATTTGTGGCATTCTATAAGACTTTTATCGTACAAACTCGATTATTCCATCTGTTTTGTTGTTCTGATATGTGTCAGTGTGTTTGACGCGTTTATTTTCGAGTTTGTACTATTAAAGTCTTATAAAATGTCACACATCTATTCAAATTAAGAATGAAAGCAAATGAGAATCGTATAAGAACATATGGTTTATTTAAAACTATTTATACCTGTACAATGCACACCCGGAGTTTGGTGCGTCCCTCCCGACTCACCCAGTATAACAAGACACGTGAGTTGCCACTAAAATAATACTTGATAATTACGCTTCATTTTTTAATGGTAGTAATGTAACCAAGCCACATTTGGAAAAAAATACATCTTGCTGTATTTTCATCACTTTAGTCACTTCTACAATGTACAAAGTTAGGGTTACGGTCACTGTCATTGAATGTCGATTCAACTTCACTATTTTTCTTGCTAGAATCGTCAGAATTCACAGCATTATCGGAACAGCTTCCTTTCGTGTCGACCATTTTGTGTGGCTTGTCACTGTGTCGGGTAGTAAGTGGAGAGAAATTAGACCTATACAATAGTGTGACCATAGGTTTTTCGCGCCATTTAACAAGTAAGGCCCATACCAATTCTGTAGTGGCTTGTTATTCGCGAGATTCACGAAGTGGGCGAAATCTAGGTTACATAATACGAACTTCAAACTGGGGGAAAGCAAGACTACATTGCATTCAGCTTGCTGTAGCTGTAGTCAAACTTGTCAATGACATGTGTTGGCACTGTTGGTAGTTGAGTTGGTTAACTTTTTTACATCATTACATATTTATTAGTTTAGTGAACAGTGAACGGGTGAAGAATTGGAGATAGTTCAAACAATTCAAACTAATTATGACGAGCAATTGACATATAAAAGAACAGCTACAACATGTTTACAATACCCAGAGTGTCCTGCTTTGCATGAACAAATACAAATCTATTGTTCTACAGGAGTTCCTCTGGACCCCAACTTCAATTTCAGTTCATGTGGGGAAGATTTCATCGCCGAAGTTTGTAGACAAAGTGCAAAAATGTGCCATTTGCTGAAGTCTTCTGCCTCACACAAAATCATATGATTATCACGGAGAACTGCTTCACCTCCCACTAGTGGTCGGCTTTTTTCATCTAAATAGAGCAAAATATCTGCCGAAAGAACACCTACAACGGGCATTATTAGCGTTATCGATCGAATATTGACAATTAATGTCAAGAAATTCAAAAACTTATGACTCATCAGTACACAGTACACAACCTAACGGCACTAATGGGATTGAGTGAGGATCGAGTTTGTTTTCCCCCAGTTTTGACGTGGCTTTGACATGGAACGATGAAAACCGAGCGCCACCTGGTGGCATTGATTCCCGCGAATACTATTGCTTCAACCGAAAATTCGTCATCCTGACAACCCCCTACACAACCCTTCCATTTGCAAAATCTACCAACAACATCCCGATCATTACACCACAAATCATTTCCACCCCAGTAAACTTTCGACGAAAACATAAATATCCAGAAACCACCATCTACCGAGGATTAATCCAGCAGCAACAGGAAGAATAATATTTTGTGATTATCTGTCCAAATTGTTTCTATTTATCATCTATATTTGGAAATCATAGTGTATAAGTTTGTGAATAAGCCTTTTGGGTAATCCCCCAATAGAGATTGTTCGTCTCTCTCTCGTATTTTTTATAGATGTGAATAAAAGCGCATTTATTATGATAGGAACCGGGGGCGCTGCCATTCACGCCCAAGGGCATCCGGTCGCAGTTCCAGCACGTGTTCGTCGTGGTCAGCGCCATCGATCCCTGTACGGAGAACACGCACTACAAGGTGGCTGTGAGCAGGTCAAGGGACGTCGAGGTGTTCGGCCCGCCGATCAAAGAAGGTAAACTGGCCTTGGATGGTTGTCATTGTGAAATTAGCAACTTTCGATTTTTGTCGGGAAGAATAATATGCTTCTTTGTTATCCTTTTTTTCCCAGAACTTCATTTGAATAATGCAGCAATGGTTACAGTCACAGTTTTAAGTAAACTACTCAACACTAATTTCGTCGCACACCAAAATGTCGCCCCTGTTATAATGTGAATAACTTTTTTCAGTTTGGAACAATTTGAATTTGGTTTACACCGTTCGATAGCCCAGTCCTTCAGCTTTAATCTCGTACTTCATTGAAACATAAGGGTATTCACATAAAATCTCTACATGGTGTTTTCCGACACTGTGCAAAATTTCGGAATATTCAAAAGGCTCTCAAATGGTGAAAAAAAATGTTTTCTCGACTTCGACTACAGAGGCATGAAGATGATCTCATTACCTCGAGATATTTCGCGAATCAACTTCCTATCTCTCTTATTTACAGAGTGATCTCAAAAAATCAACTTTTTGGTTTTGCAGTCATAACTTTTTTCCACGTCAACCGATTTTAGAAATCTCAGGCTCATTTTGAAGATAAAACTTCAGATGAGAAGATCTGAATATCAGAATTGACTCAAGATGGCTATCAGAGATCTAGAGTTTTCTTGAAAGTGACCCAAATCTGGAACGCCCTCCGAATCTCGGTTGGGAGGAGAATTGAATGAAAATCAACTTGTTCTCGGAAAAACAATTCATTCTGGATGCGTCCATATTTTCCTCGCTCTCAGTAGTCAAGAAAGTGCGTGAGAAAACACAATTGAAACATGTTCTTGCAGAAACATCAGATAATTTCTCCTCTGTAATGCATGGCCCGTAACCAACGTTACAAGAATCATAGTAAGTGACTGACAAGTCAGGTTAGACGTCGTTTTCGAATCATAAACAGATTTCGATAGTTTCGATGCCGCATCTAACGCGAATGTGGGTGACAACTTTGTTCTCGTTGATGACAATGCGAGACCGCATAGGGTTGTTGGTACATCATTTTATGATGAGCCTTGGCTGGTCGGGTTTGTCAGTCCATTGTGATTCTTGTAACGTTGGTTACGGGCCATGCATTATAGATGATAAATGGTCTAATGTTTTTGCAAGAACATGTTTCAATTGTGTTTTCTCACGCACAATTCTTGACTACTGAGAGCGAGGAAACTATGGACGCATCCAGAATGAATTGTTTTTCCGAGAACAAGTTGATTTTCATTCAATTCTCCTCCCAACCGAGATTCGGAGGGCGTTCCAAATTTGGGTCACTTTCAAGAAAACTCTAGCTCTCTGATAGCCATCTTGAGTCAATTCTGATATCCAGATCTCTTCATCTGAAGTTTTATCTTCAAAATGAGCATAAGATTTCTAAAATCGGTTGACGTAGAAAAAAGTTATGGCTGCAAAACCAAAAAGTTGACTTTTTGAGATCGCTCTGTAAATAAGAGAGATAGGAAGTTGATTCGCGAAACATCTCGAGGTAATGAGATCATCTTCATGCCTCTGTTGTCGAAGTTGAGAAAAAATTTTTTTTCACCATTTGAGAGCCTTTTGAATATTCCGAAATTTTGCACAGTGTCGGAAAACACCATGTAGAGATTTTATGTGAATACCCTTATGTTTCAATGAAATACGAGATTATAGCTGAAGGACTGGGCTATCGAACAGTGTGAACCAAATTCAAATTGTTCTAAACTGAAAAAAGTTATTCACATTATAACAGGGGCGAGATTTTGGTGTGCGACGAAATTAATGTTGAGTAGTTCAGATTGAAATAACAGCACTATCAAAAAAAAGTCTAAATCTATACATAATTATCTGATATAGGTACAATACGACAACGAAATAATACTAGGTATTCATTCACTTGAGAATTCTATAACACATATTATGTAACAGTTATTCTGGGATAGAGAAATGAATGCCGATCATTCATTAAATATGCAAGTGTAATTTCCTTGGGGAGAGTGTTATAAGTTTTCATGCATAGTGTAATGGGATTATTCAGGTCAATATTAGTACGTTCAGGTTCTAAAAAGACGTTCATTCTCTGATGAATCTAGAGCACAACTTAGGCAACCCCCATCTATAACAATATTTCTCGTTCCTAGGCGGGATATACCCGAAGGGCAAGGTGTTCCAGGAATTCCTGCTGGCCAAGGTGGTGAACGCCGAGAACGCCGCCCACAGATCGGAGAAGTTCGTCACTATGGCGACGCGCACGCGCCAGGAGTACCTCAAGGAGCTGGTCGTCAACCATTCGACCAGCACCATTCTCGATACGGGGCAAAAATTTTGTGAGTCTAACGATTGTCTCATAGGTACTAACTGATGTTTAGTCGCTTTTCATCCAATGAACTGTATGTAAACAACTGGAAGGGACCCAGTGTGAACGACGAGTGAGGCAAAAATATTTTTCAGGCAACCCGCAGTGTTTACGGATACCTATCTCTCTCTATCTTGTGTTGGCTAATGGGAAGCGCTCGCATAATTTGAAATATTTTCTCGTTTTTTGCTTCTATTTAAGAGTAAACGTGATTAAATAATAATATTCATTTAAGAAAAAGGATAATGTTGTAATCAATTATCATTAAAAAATTATTACTAATTTTTTTATTGACTTTAAAATGAAATTCCAATATTACTCTTACAGGATCAGGAAGTCAAATGAATACAAAATTGAAATTATATATTTTTATTCAAATTTCACAATATATTGTACAGGGTGAGCGAAGCACAATGTCTTCTTGAATGGTATTGATGAGTGCATTTTGAGCATAATTTCCATAGGTTCCCATTCCTCCATTAGGTCACTCATTAATTGTCATTACTATACCGACTGTTGGAAATTGATCGAACTACTTATTCTTTCTTGTTTGAAATTTTTAGGTCTCTCCTTTTTACTTTTTGTCTTAGTGTGTTCACTTTTCTCCTCAATACAATATCCTTCTCTAATGAAACAGTTTGAGTTTCTTTATTGATCAACTTCGAAACTTGGGAGCTGGAAGTGGTAGGCAAGTCAAAGTCAATAACATGGGAAACTTCTTCCTTTGGACCCAAGTTATGAACGTCCACAGATGCATCCTGAAAACAAATTTTTTTTTTTTAAATAGGTGCACACATACTTTTTTTTCATTATTCATCAACTAGGTACCTATGAGTTTTCTTATTTTCCTGGGGGAATCAGCATTTTTTGGTAACAAATGCTGAGGAAATGAAAATATACTGGGTACAGCATCTGCTTTCAAAAACCTAGCAGTACTTGGTATGGCTGAATAATCTGTTGGCAGGAAATGCTCCCCACAAAGCTTGCTGCTTTTAGTTGGAGTCCAATTCTCACTAGGAACTGCCTTTATCCATAATTCGAGAATGTCTGGTCTTTTGAATGGAAAACTGCAATGAATAATATTACTCAATATCAATATGGAAGTATTTAACTTTGACAAATAATATAGGTATAGTTTTCGAACATATTCTGAGACTGGACATTGTAAACCTAACTGATGATCATTTCATGAACTATATTTTTCAAAAATCTGAGAACAATATTCAACTTACCCATGGAATGCTAATTTCCTTTTGTTTTGTTCATTCTTCTTGCATCCAAAGGCGACACAATTAATCACCATTGTTTATCAATACTAATCACAAACCTTCTCAACTTTTAGTTCAGTGTTCACAACAACAAATTCAGTCCTTTTGTTACAACAAAACACGCCTAATGAATAGTTATTTCACCTCGTATTTCACATGAACTAAGACAATGAACTTATGTCTTCACTTTCTTGCCTGTGTAGATGACAGAAAAAATTCTTTACTACTTTAATTATTAGATAAAAGAAAATTTATACACCAATCCACCATTAAACAAACACGAGTTGGAAGAGGACAGGTATCCGTAAATCATGCTATCTTTATTGCAGCTGCCCCTGACACACTTTGTGCTATTCGAGAGAACTATCGTATCCCTTCCAGTTGTATTGAGTTCATTGTTTTCATCACGGTGCTGGAAACACATTAACATTTTTAGGTCTGTTCGCTGTGCTTCCAATATCTACAATATCCAATAACCAGTTGCCGAAGATCATACACACACTAGATAGTCAACGCCTGTGTGAAAATTGGCAACGCTCCGATGGGATTAAAAACAGTACTAGATGTTGGCCAGCTCGTAAATATCTGTTATGCACAAATTGAATCGCGCCTTCGTTATGTTATCTGCTTGTGGGGCATCTCTCTCTACCAAGTCAAAAGATGTTTTCATTGCTCAAAAGGCAATTATGAGGTGCATTTTTAACATTCCTCGTAGAGAAACTTGCAAACAAATTTTTCAATCCAGTAATATCTTGACTCTCGCTAGTTTATACATATTTGAGATTGCATGTTATATTTATTGCAACATAACCTATTTCAAACTTGATAAAGACATTCATAACATGAATACTCGCCAGAAAGGCCTAATTCATACACAAATTGGAAAATACAAAGTAGCCCAAAATGCACCTAACTTCATAGGACCACGTATTTTCAATCATTTATCTGAGAATATAAAATCAAGTTTAACACTTAAAGTTTTCAAAACGCGCCTCAAAACATTTTTGGTGCAACATTCTTTTTATACTGTGCAAGATTTCTTGGATTGTCCGGTACAGTGATATTTTATTTTATTTTGTACTGTATTTCGTTTCTGTATATCTATGTATTGTGTGTTTTATGTATTTTTCAAAAATTTTGACGTTTCCAACACAATGTATAATTGTCTAAAGGAATAAAGATTCGATTGATTGATTGGGATCCTAACAGACCGGCTGCTAATCGGCTGTGCTATTCGTTGACCAATAGTATATTACACACCGAGGTGGGAAGTGATTCATTCCTGTCGTGAGATTAGTTACATTTAATTTCGAGACAGGAATGCAACTTCTTACCGGGGTGCGATTTTCCTAAATATACTGCACGCTAGCACAAACCACGCCCACCATAATACGTCATATCTCATACTGTGCTCCAACGCAAGAACTGAAGCTTTCTCGTTGTCAATCTCTTGTACGCAGTAAATGCATACACCCAAATGGTCTACTGGTTAGCGCTGTCGACTCTCAGTCTGAAGGTTCATGGTTCGAATCGCTGTGAACTCGAACTTTTTTTTGCAACTTTTTTTTTTCACCAATGTTTTTTTACTTCATTCTGGTTTTCCTTTTTCATAAAATATTTGAAGTCAAATAGGTTAGTGCGTTTAGGATAAACAGTCTCATTTTATTCAATTTTGTTGAAGAACTCAACTTTTGAAATATATTATTAATCAATGTGTTTCTACACTCCATTCGGTTTTCCTTCCTCAAAAATATTGCAATCAGGGATAGGTTAGTTCGTTGAGGATAAATAGTCTCTGAGTTTTGCCTAAGTAAAGTACTTTGAAGATGAGATATAACGTGGTATGTGCTACTTTTTCAATCGATTTATTTATATTAATCAGCTACGTTGTGCTGTCAAAGATTAGATTTTGCAGGATTGTGCTGGGCTCGATTATATTTTGCAATGCCGTAGTAGGGGGCGTGTCTTGTGCTGCAATAGTTTATATTTAGTAAAATCGCTACCGGGGTTTGTATACTATTTTATTTACAACCATCATATTTCGATCAAAATCAATAAATCTATGTTTCGTTCTGAACATACCTGAATTATTACATGAGTGAGGGTAAGAAGTAGTGAGGGGCGGGAAGTAAGGACGGGAAGTAAGGACGGGAAGTAGAGGTGTGTAATGTGACACTTCCCAACTTTCAATGACGTTAGTAATGACAACATTACATATACAGTGTGTCCCACTTACCATGCTCACCATGGGTATCTTTTTAACGGTGAGAGAAACGAGGTCGGTTAAATGACACCAAATATGGAGTTTGTCAAGGCCAACTATAATGTGAGAAAATATTTTGATAAAATCTATTCGTTTTTGTTTTATACGCTAAAAACAGATTTTGATCATTTTCATGACACATTCTCATGGCAGTTTTTCAAAGTGATTTCGAAAAAAATATGAAATTTATAGCAACTCTTCTAGAATTTGAGATATCAGCACCAACTTTAGTTTTTCAAATGTAGGCCATAGCTCACTATGACTTAGTTACAAATAACTTTTTTTTCTCTTACAGATGATATGTAGCAGTAATAGTTTTGTGTTGATAACAACGGAGTTATCGTCATTTATACAAAAACAAAAAAATATTTGGAAGCCGCCATCTTGAATTCATAAATTTTACCAAAAAAGAAATATGATCTCCGACCTCAAAAACCCCCACTTACCAATTTTGAATGGAATAGGACCTAATCTTGTCCGCCAGCTTGGAGCAGCCATTTTTTTAATTTCAAAAAAAATTCCATGATGTATTGTCACCGAAATTATGAACACCTGTCAAATTTCAAGTCAATCGGAATTTTTGTTGAAATTAAAAAAAAATGTTTGCTCCAAGATGGCGGACAAGATTTGGTCCGATTCCATTCAAAATTGGTAAGTGGGGGTTTTTGAGGTCGGAGATCATAATTTGTTTGTTAAAATTTATAAATTCAAGATGGCGGCTTCCAAATAATTTTTTGTTTTTGTATAAATGACGATAACTCCGTTGTTATCAACACAAAACTATTACTGCGACATATCATCTGTAAAAGGAAAAAAAGTTATTTGTAACTAAGTCATAGTTAGCTTTGACCTACATTTGAAAAACTAAAGTTGGTGCTGATATCTCAAATTCTAGAACAGTTGGTGAAAATTTCATATTTTTTTCGAAATCATAAATAAAGAAGTTACGGAGGAGACATGAAAATGATCAAAATCTGTTTTTTGCGTATAAAACACAAACGATTAGATTTTATCAAAATATTTCTTCACATTATAGTTGGCCTTGACAAACTCCGCATTTGGTGTCATTTAACCGACCTCATATCTCTCACCTTTAAAAAGATACCCATGGTGAGCATGGTAAGTGGGACACACTGTATGGTTGTAAATAAATATTATTAGCCGAGTCGGTGGCATACACGGCGTTATAATGAATAGATGCACACAGCAGGATATCACCGCTCTGTTCGTTCCCAACTTAGCGTTGCCCATTCTAACATTTACGGTGCTTATCTAGTGTGTGTATGATCTTTGCAGTTGCCTTTTCTTGATATCTTGATACACAAAACAAATTCTTTCAACTTTTCAATTTATAGGAAACCAACAACTACTGATGATATTATATCTTTCAATTCGTTCCACCCTTACAGCCATTTTCAGCTTTTCATGCTCTTTTTCATA